ATAGAAGCATCAGGAAGAGAGAGGTGAAGGTTTATAAACTAAAAGAGGAGGCAGTTAGGGTAAGATATAAACAGCTATTGGAGGATAGATGGGCTAATGAGAGCATAGGCAATGGGGTCGAAGAGGTATGGGGTAGGTTTAAAAATGTAGTGTTAGAGTGTTCAGCAGAAGTTTGTGGTTACAGGAAAGTGGGTGCAGGAGGGAAGAGGAGCGATTGGTGGAATGATGATGTAAAGAGAGTAGTAAGGGAGAAAAAGTTAGCATATGAGAAGTTTTTACAAAGTAGAAGTGATGCAAGAAGGGAAGAGAGTATATGGAGAAAAAGAGAGAAGTTAAGAGAGTGGTGAAGCAATGTAAAAAGAGAGCAAATGAGAGAGTGGGTGAGATGTTATCAACAATTTTGTTGAAAATAAGAAAAAGTTTTGGAGTGAGATTAACAAGTTAAGAAAGCTAGAGAACAAATGGATTTGTCAGTTAAAATAGGAGAGGAGAGTTATTAAATGGGAGTTAGAGGTATTGGGAAGATGGAGGGAATATTTTGAGGAATTGTTAAATGTTGATGAAGATAGGGAAGCTGTGATTTCGTGTATAGGGCAAGGAGGAATAACATCTTGTAGGAGTGAGGGAAAAGCCAGTTGTGAGTGTGGGGGAATTCGTGAGGCAGTAGGTAAAATGAAAGGGGGGTAAGGCAGCCGGGATTGATGGGATAAAGATAGAAATGTTAAAAGCAGGTGGGATATAGTTTTGGAGTGGTTGGTGCAATTATTTAATAAATGTATGGAAGAGGGTAAGGTACCTAGGGATTGGCAGAGAGCATGCATAGTTCCTTTGTATAAAGGCAAAGGGGATAAAAGAGAGTGCAAAAATTATAGGGGGATAAGTCTGTTGAGTGTACCTGGTAAAGTGTATGGTAGAGTTATAATTGAAAGAATTTAAAGAGTAAGACGGAGAATAGGATAGCAGATGAAAAGGAGGCTTTAGGAAAGGTGGGGGGTGTGTGGACCAGGTGTTTTACAGTGAAACATATAAGTGAACAGTTTTAGATAAGGCAAAGAGTCTTTGTGGCATTTATGGATTTGGAAAAGGCGTATGACAGGGTGGATAGGGGGGCAATGTGGCAGATGTTGCAAGTGTATGGTGTAGGAGGTAGGTTACTGAAAGCAGTGAAGAGTTTTTACGAGGATAGTGAGGCTCAAGTTAGAGTATGTAGGAAAAGAGTGAAATTTTTTCCCAGTAAAAGTAGGCCTAAAACAAGGATGTGTGATGTCACCGTGGTTGTTTAATATATTTATAGATGGGGGTTTTAAGAGAAATAAATGCGAGGGTCTTGGCAAGAGGCGTGGAGTTAAAAGATAAAGAATCACACACAAAGTGGGAGTTGTCACAGCTGCTCTTTGCTGATGACACTGTGCTCTTGGGAGATTCTGAAGAGAAGTTGCAGAGATTGGGGATGAATTGGAAGGGTGTGCAAAAGAAGAAAATTTAAAAGGGGAATACAGGAAAGAGTAAGGTTATGAGGATAACAAAAAGATTAGGTGATGAAAGATTGAATACAGATTGGAGGGAGAGAGTATGGAGGAGGTGAACGTATTCAGATATTTGGGAGTGGACGTTGTCAGCGGATGGGTCTATGAAAGATGAGGTGAATCATAGAATTGATGAGGGAAAAGAGTGGGTGGTTTCACTTAGGAGTCTGTGGAGACAAAGAACTTTTTCCTTGGAGGCAAAGAGGGGAATGTATGAGAAATATAGTTTTACCAACGCTCTTATATGGGGGTGAAGCGTGGGTGATGAATGTTGCAGCAAGGAGAAGGCTGGAAAGGGAGTGGAGATGTCATGTCTGAGGGCAATGTGTGGTGTGAATATAATGCAGAGAATTCGTAGTTTGGAAGTTAGGAGGAGGTGCGGGATTACCAAAACTGTTGTCCAGAGGGCTGAGGAAGGGTTGTTGAGGTGGTTCGGACATGTAGAGAGAATGGAGCGAAACAGAATGACTTCAAGAGTGTATCAGTCTGTAGTGGAAGGAAGGCGGGGTAGGGGTCGGCCTAGGAAGGGTTGGAGGGAGGGGTAAAGGAGGTTTTGTGTGCGAGGGGCTTGGACTTCCAGCAGGCATGCGTGAGCGTGTTTGATAGGAGTGAATGGAGACAAATGGTTTTTAATACTTGACGTGCTGTTGGAGTGTGAGCAAAGTAACATTTATGAAGGGATTCAGGGAAACCGGCAGGCCGGACTTGAGTCCTGGAGATGGGAAGTACAGTGCCTGCACTCTGAAGGAGGGGTGTTAATGTTGCAGTTTAAAAACTGTAGTGTAAAGCACCCTTCTGGCAAGACAGTGATGGAGTGAATGATGGTGAAAGTTTTTCTTTTTCGGGCCACCCTGCCTTGGTGGGAATCGGCCAGTGTGATAATAAAAAAAAAATATAAATAACCTGCACATAGGAGAAAGAAACTTATGACGTTTTGGACCGAAATGTTTTAAGTTTCCTTCTCCTATGTGCAGGTTATTTGTGTATTGTTTCAGTCACAGTAATGTGACTTTTTATTCTTTATTAAGGTGATGTTTCAATTGTGGGAGATTATTCTTTGGATCGTAAATGTCCCACGACCAAACTGTCTCGATAAATACCCTGTTACTACACATGTAGTAGCAGGACAACATTAAGCTCAGCAAGTGTTTCAGGAGGCATTACAGTGTATACATGGATAGAGCATATTGTACTGAGATTGGGATCGGAAAACAGCAGATACTAAAGCTATGAAAATTAGAGAGGACATGGATGGTTTAGCAGGTTTAATAAAATTTTCATTTCAGCGTGTCTAGAAAAATAGTTCCTCCTTCCCTAGGTCATTAGTTAATATCATGCATGAGGATGCTTTTGTCATTAAAAATTCAAGGTTTTTGAAATAAAAAAAATCATTAATTAACAGCTTCACCTCCTTGACTACCAAGTGTTAGTAATACTGGTATCAAATCTTGTTAGTCTGATCTTTAAATTACTGTTGGACACATTTTTTCTAAAATTTATTGTATGACTCCACAGAATTTTGAATTATATACAATGCTATGAACTAAATGAATTCTATCCTTCAGCACCTAACTGAGGCCAGTTTAGAATGTGTATTGGAGCATAGCATTTTGGACATTGATGAAATGAGTGAGTCCAAAGATCCAAAGTGCCCATTTTTCCGGCCATCAAAGGATATAGAATTTCTGCATCAACTGGCTGAAACTGCTGCATCATTTAGTCAAGAGGATTCCACTATCTCTAATATATTCAATCTGTGTGTGGCGCTTTGGGGAAGATTAGACTTTTACTCTCCAGAGTCTGGTAGGTTTACTAAATCTACTGATGATTTTTTTTATTAATAATAGTCTTTTATTGTTTCAGAGGATAAATGCAGTGATAAATTAATTTTTTTTTTTTAAACATGCTGGCCATCTCCCACCAAGGCAGGGTGGCTGGAAAAAGAAGCATACACATTCTAAAACCATACACATTTGGATGGTTTGTTCACATAACTCGAATCTGTCCTCTCTCATGTACTCAGTCTCTCTCTCTCGTTTGTTCATTTAATCTCGTTGGCTCACCTCATGCCTTATTTTAAGGTAAGTAATGAGTGTACTGTATATGCATTTTATCGCTCTAGGGTGCTTTAAATGCCTAGCATATAATGTGTGGGTGGGGTGGCCAGATTGGGTTACGATACCTACCACACTATTCGATACCTACTTACCCTTCTGCTTGCCTTGCACCCTATATTAAGACCATTAAGACTACAAATATTTTAAGGTAAGTAATGAGTGTACACTGTTTTTATTTTATCGCTCTAGGGCTCTTTAAATGTTGAAGTATATAACGTGTGAGTGGGGTGGGGTTGGATGGCCTGGCTGGCTACCATACCTACCACACCTAACTTCTTGCAATAAACACTACTCACTTCTCATCCTACATTACGACTACAAATATTTTGAGGTAAGTAATGAGTGTACTGTGTGTGTATTTTATTTTTTATTATTTTTTAATGCCATGTTCTATTGCTAACTTAATGTATGTTAGTGTAAACTTATCCGACATAAGTGGAAACAAATGGCGTTCTGCTTTCCGGCGATGTCCGCTCTCCGGCAGTAGCCTGGAACCTAACCTGCCATATAAGTGCGGCCCTACTGTACTACTAAATTCTGTTCCATTAGTAAATTTGTCTTGGATTTGGCCTCGTATCATAGAAATAATTTATGCATAGTTTTCAGTTTAGAGGTCGCACTGCAAAAAAATATAATTGCAAATTATTAAATTTGAAGCAATGTAAAAAGAGAGCAAATGAGAGAGTGGGTGAGATGTTATCAACAAATTTTGTTGAAAATAAGAAAAAGTTTTGGAGTGAGATTAACAAGTTAAGAAAGCCTAGAGAACAAATGGATTTGTCAGTTAAAAATAGGAGAGGAGAGTTATTAAATGGAGAGTTAGAGGTATTGGGAAGATGGAGGGAATATTTTGAGGAATTGTTAAATGTTGATGAAGATAGGGAAGCTGTGATTTCGTGTATAGGGCAAGGAGGAATAACATCTTGTAGGAGTGAGGAAGAGCCAGTTGTGAGTGTGGGGGAAGTTCGTGAGGCAGTAGGTAAAATGAAAGGGGGTAAGGCAGCCGGGATTGATGGGATAAAGATAGAAATGTTTAAAAGCAGGTGGGGATATAGTTTTGGAGTGGTTGGTGCAATTATTTAATAAATGTATGGAAGAGGGTAAGGTACCTAGGGATTGGCAGAGAGCATGCATAGTTCCTTTGTATAAAGGCAAAGGGGATAAAAGAGAGTGCAAAAATTATAGGGGGATAAGTCTGTTGAGTGTACCTGGTAAAGTGTATGGTAGAGTTATAATTGAAAGAATTAAGAGTAAGACGGAGAATAGGATAGCAGATGAACAAGGAGGCTTTAGGAAAGGTAGGGGGTGTGTGGACCAGGTGTTTACAGTGAAACATATAAGTGAACAGTATTTAGATAAGGCTAAAGAGGTCTTTGTGGCATTTATGGATTTGGAAAAGGCGTATGACAGGGTGGATAGGGGGGCAATGTGGCAGATGTTGCAAGTGTATGGTGTAGGAGGTAGGTTACTGAAAGCAGTGAAGAGTTTTACGAGGATAGTGAGGCTCAAGTTAGAGTATGTAGGAAAGAGGGAAATTTTTTCCCAGTAAAAGTAGGCCGTAGACAAGGATGTGTGATGTCACCGTGGTTGTTTAATATATTTATAGATGGGGTTGTAAGAGAAGTAAATGCGAGGGTCTTGGCAAGAGGCGTGGAGTTAAAAGATAAAGAATCACACACAAAGTGGGAGTTGTCACAGCTGCTCTTTGCTGATGACACTGTGCTCTTGGGAGATTCGAGAGAAGTTGCAGAGATTGGTGGATGAATTTGGTAGGGTGTGCAAAAGAAGAAAATTAAAGGTGAATACAGGAAAGAGTAAGGTTATGAGGATAACAAAAAGATTAGGTGATGAAAGATTGAATATCAGATTGGAGGGAGAGAGTATGGAGGAGGTGAACGTATTCAGATATTTGGGAGTGGACGTGTCAGCGGATGGGTCTATGAAAGATGAGGTGAATCATAGAATTGATGAGGGAAAAAGAGTGAGTGGTGCACTTAGGAGTCTGTGGAGACAAAGAACTTTGTCTTGGAGGCAAAGAGGGGAATGTATGAGAGTATAGTTTTACCAACGCTCTTATATGGGTGTGAAGCGTGGGTGATGAATGTTGCAGCGAGGAGAAGGCTGGAGGCAGTGGAGATGTCATGTCTGAGGGCAATGTGGGGTGTGAATATAATGCAGAGAATTCGTAGTTTGGAAGTTAGGAGGAGGTGCGGGATTACCAAAACTGTTGTCCAAGGGCTGAGGAAGGGTTGTTGAGGTGGTTCGGACATGTAGAGAGAATGGAGCGAAACAGAATGACTTCAAGAGTGTATCAGTCTGTAGTGGAAGGAAGGCGGGGTAGGGGTCGGCCTAGGAAGGGTTGGAGGGAGGGGGTAAGGGAGGTTTTGTGTGCGAGGGGCTTGGACTTCCAGCAGGCATGCGTGAGCGTGTTTGATAGGAGTGAATGGAGACAAATGGTTTTTAATACTTGACGTGCTGTTGGAGTGTGAGCAAAGTAACATTTATGAAGGGATTCAGGGAAACCGGCAGGCCGGACTTGAGTCCTGGAGATGGGAAGTACAGTGCCTGCACTCTGAAGGAGGGGTGTTAATGTTGCAGTTTAAAAACTGTAGTGTAAAGCACCCTTCTGGCAAGACAGTGATGGAGTGAATGATGGTGAAAGTTTTTCTTTTTCGGGCCACCCTGCCTTGGTGGGAATCGGCCAGTGTGATAATAAAATAATAAATTTGTTTGTGTGAAGGGGCTTTCAATAAATTTTGGAGAGGTGAATTTTGTGAATTTTGAGGTTAACTTACTGTAGAAACTATTGGGTATTCAGGTCGTTTTAGCTATTGAATAGATTAATTTTGTTTTTCAGCTTGAGGCTATTCTTTAGTGGGGTTCTCAGAATTTGTTTTGGTCAAAATCAGAAACTTTTGTACAAGTCCAGACTTTCCATGGCTGCATTTACAATTCAATGTACAGTGTTCTGAATTCTTTCACATTCTTTACTCTACTTATTTTTTTTTTTTAACATATTTTCAAAATGTGAAAAGAATTAAATTTTCTCAGTTTCTAATTTTAGTGGACCCTCAGTTATTGGCTGTTCCAGATACCGGCCAACTCAGCTATCGCCCGATTTTTTGACCGAAATTTTATTCCGGTTATTGGCCATTATTTCACTTATCGGCTGTATTGGACGCAGCTACCCGCCCACCTGCCAGCCACTCGCGCGTTCATGAGTCAGTCTGGCTGTGTCTCTGGGCAATTGAGGAAACTTCTGATCATTCATCCAAACATTTCGCTATAATCCAGTGTTTTTTATGGTCATCGATTTAGTGCAACTGCGAAATAAGTAACCATGGGCCCAAAGAAAGTTCCTAGTAAAGTTCCTTTGGTAAGGAAAGTGAGAAACATGATTTAATTGAGAAAGAAGTTGTTGAAAAGTATGAGAGTGGTGTTCAAGTGCTAGAACTTGCCAGGATGTATGGGAAATCCAAATCAACAACCACTTCCATCCTGGCAAAGAAAGTAGAAATCAAGGAAGCTAATGTTGCAAAAGGGAGTTTAGCAGGGAGGCAGGGAGTGTAGCGGGGAGGCAGGGTGTGTAGCGGGGAGGCAGGACCCCAATGGAATTAAGTCACTCTGTCTTACTTTTTTGGGTTATCCTAGGTTCTTTACACTTGCTGTAGAAGGGAGGGAGGGAGTGTAACAGGGAGGCAGGGAGTGTAGCAGACATGCAGGGAGTGTAGCAGGCATGCAGGGAGTGTAGCAGGCATGCAGGGAGTGTAGCAGAGAAATGGGGTGTGGAAGGGAGGCAGGCAGGGAGTGTAGCAGGCAGGCAGGGAGTGTAGCAGGCAGGCAGGGAAATAACCTCAGAGAGGGCTTTGATACCTAAAGTCCTTATGGAGGGGTATTCCCCTTCCAAGCAGTAATCAGTCCTCCCTCTCTCCTCCTCCCTGTCTTCTATAAGCCAACAAGAGTCTTCAATGAAGGTATGTAATAATGATTTAAATGTTCATTTATTTATTTTATTTAGTTCTCATTGTTTTGTGTATGTAAAACTATAATTATTTTTTGTTTTTTTTGGGTTAAATTTTGGGGTGGTCCGGAAAGGATTAAATTTAATATTACTCCATTACTGTCTTGCAGAAGTCTTTAATTTCGTTTTAAGGCCATTTCAGTTCATGAGGCCTGACTTTCTCCAAGGACTCACGGCCTGATAACCGAGGGTCCCTGTATGTTAATTTGTCCTCCCCTCAAGTATGGAGAGAGAACTACAGTGTGTCTTCAGCAACAGCTGGCAAGCCTGTGAGTCAGTGCACAAAAGCCTGTGAGCTCCTCAACTTCCAAGGGAACCTCCGTGTGCTCTCCCGTAAGAAGCAGAAACTCGAAGGTTACTGGATGCTGTGTTGCTCATCTCACTGCCAAAATATCAGAGGCCTGTCCTCTGGCACAGGACAAAGGTTGTGTCACAGCAGCCTCTTCAGCCTTTTTTCTATTATAAAGAACTTTTCTGTTATATTTATACTAGAGAATGGATACCCAAATGATATTACTGCTGTTTCTCTGAAAGATCAAGCTAGAGAAAGGATCTCTAGCTTTGCTTTGAAAAACAGCAAATAATACAATTTCGGTTAAACATGTTCATATAAGGTATGTGTAATTGTCTCCACAGTCTATGAAATACCTTAAATTATGTGTCAGTCAGGTATAGCAATGTCAGTCACGATTAATGCCTTGCATAATCGTATTGATACAACCATCATTTTTTTTTATACTTAAAAGCAATTATTTTCTTAATGCACGCTGTCTACTTGAGTCAGGGTGACCATAGACAGAAAGTTTCACCATCACTCACTTCGTCAGAGTCTGCAGAGGGTGCCATACAAAGGTTCAGATGCAACTTTCCAAACTGTGAGTATCACCCACGCCTCTTGCAAGTGTGCACTGTACTTCCCAAACCTCCAGTTGATAAAGTATGCTAGAATTATAGAAACTCCACGGTGACAGTGGCGAAATCCTTGTTAAGCTCAGTGGCATAACATCACCTTTTCCTCTCTCTCTCTTGCCTCCTTTGTTTTTTTTTCTACTACTCTACACCAACATTGACATTGCCTCCCATCAAGGCAGGTGATCCAAAAAGAAAGAAAATCTTTCCACTAAAAGAAATATTATCAGATCATTCAACACTTTCACTCACTCGCACTAATCAATGCTCTTGCAGAGAGTGCTCAGTACTCGAAGTTTAATAGTACCTACCAAACTACCAATATACCAAACCCTCCTTAATGTGCAGGCACTGTACTTCCCATTTCCAAAGACATCAAGTCTGGCAACCGGTTACCTTGAACCCTTCACAAAATATTACCCTGCCACAGCTAATCAGCTTTACAGGTCCAATACCATTCGGTCTCCATTCACTCCTTATTTAACATGCGCTCACACATGCTTGCTGGAAGTCCAAGGGCCCCTCACACATGAAGATCCTCCTTAGCCCCCTCCCTCCAACCTTTTTAGGATGATCCCTATCTGCCTTCCTCTCCCTACGTATCTTATACCGCTCTCCATAAGTCAATCTACTTTGATTCAGTTTCTTAAATGACAAACCACCCAAAAGCCCCCTTCACCTTATGTAAAAATATTTTAGTAACTCTCACACCCTCCTCCTTTTAAATTTTCACACTCTGAATTCTTTCATAAAATTTACACCACACTTGCCCTATGAACAAGACTCTCACTGGCTTAGACTTTTTCCCTACTACTTCTTTACATATATTCCACCAATAGCCCTTTCCCTCTGCACCAACTTTCCTGGAACACAAACTTCTGCTGAACCTCTAACACCATTTTTAAACCTACCCCATAACTTCGACCCATTGCCTTGCTCTCATTAGCCCATCTATCCCCCAATAGCTGTTTATATCTACCCTAACGCCTCCTCTTTTAGTTATAAACCTTCACCTCTCTCTTCCCTGATGCTTCATTCTCCTTGTATCCCTACCTTTACTCTCAGTGTAGCTACAAAATAGAAAGTGATCTGTAATCTGTGGCCCCTCTATAACATGTACATCCGAAGTCTACTCAACAGTTTTATTACCCAATAAAATAATCCAACAACTACTGTCATTTCCCCTACATCATCGGTATAATTTATCTCTTCTTCTAAAATATGTATTACCCAAACTAAACCCCTTCTATACAAAGTTCAATCAAAAGGCTCCCATTATCATTTAAAACCTGGCACCCCAAACTTACCTACCACACCTCTCTAAAAGTTTCTCCTACTTTAGCATTCAAAGTCCTACCACAATTAATCTTCACTTGGTTAAGGCTCTTAATTACTTAACATCTCCCAAATCCTCTTCCTCTGCATTCCTCTCTTCTCAGGTGCATACACGCTTATTATGACCCTTCTCGGGATCCAACCTTTACTTTAATCACATAATTTTGAATTAACATTCATTCTCTTTTCTCCTTCCATAACTGATCATTTAACATTACTGGTACCCCTTCCTTTGCTCTACTCTCCAGATACTCAGATTTAATCCCATTTATTTCCCCCACTGAAAACTCTCTACCCCTTCAGGCTTTGTTCGCTTAGGGCCAGGACATCCAACTTCTTTTCATCATAACTCAGAAATCATTATTTTGTCATCCGCAACCCACATCACGCACATTTAAGAAACCCAGTTTTATAAAGTTTTCTTCTTTTTTTTTAGTAATTGGTTTCAGGAGAAGGGGTTACTAAACCATTGCTCCGGGGCATTTTAGTCGCCCCATACGACACGCATGGGTTACGGAGGAAAGATTCTTTTCATTCCCCATGGGAAATGAAAAATAAAAAAGAAACAAGAGCTATTTAGAAAAGGAGGAAGAAAAACTAGATGTATGTATATATTATATGCATGTGGCGTGTCTGTGAAGTGTAGACCCAAAATGTAAGTAGGGTAGCAAGATATCCCTGTTATTTGCGGGTTTATGAGACGAAAAGAAACCGCAACCCACCATCATGGCAAACCGTTACAGGTTTTGTTTCACAGATCTGGCAGGACGGTAAATACTTCCTGGGTGGTTGCTGGGTCTACCAACTATACCTAATTATAATTAATTTTAATAAATGTATTTTTTGTTAATATTTTGGGTGTCTGGAAGGGTTATTTGTATTTAAAAATTATTCTTATGGGAAATATTATTTGGTTTTAGGCCATTCAGTTTAAAGGGCCCACCTTCTGGAAGGATTCGGCTGATAACGAGGGTCCCTGTTGTGTAATTTTTTCCTCCCCCATAGATGGAGAGAGTGACTAAGTGTGTCGAGCAAGGGGGTGGAAGCTGGGGAGTCAGTGGTTAGAAGCCGTGAGTATCAACTGTCCAGAGGAAGTCAGTGATGCTTCAGTAAGAAGCGGGAAAGACGGAAGGTTACCGGGTGCTGGTTGCCATCTCACTGGGTCGACAAATAAAAGCTGTTCTTGGCAAAAGGACAAAGGTAGAAGTCACAGGCAGCTCTCACCTTTTTTTTATAAAAAGTTTTCTTTTATATTTTAAAGGAAAGGACCCAAATTGTATTTTATGTTTTTTTTTTCTGAAAGATAAAGCAGAGAAAGGTCTCTTAGCTTTGTCTTTCAGAAAAAAACAGCAAATAATACAATTTCGGTTTTAACATGTTATATAAGGTATGGTAATTGTCTCAGTGTTATGAAATACCTTAAATATTGTGAGTAAAAGGTGATAGCAATGTCATTGTCACGATTAATGCTTGCATAAAAGTATTGAGGCATACAACATATTTGTTTTATACTAAAAAATGCAAAATATTTTTTAAAGCACCAGTGTTCCACTGAGGCAGGGTGAACGATAAGAAGAAACGCTTTCACCATCACTACTTCGTCAGTGTTTGCCCGAGGTGTGGCAATATACAGTTTAGATCCCTTAAAATGCAGTATCCCCAAACCCTCTTTTACATGTAGCACTGTACTCCACCTCCAGATGGATTTAAAGTAGTGCTAGAAATTTTAAGAAATTCTCCATGGTGAAGTGGAGAAGAATCCTTTTTTGCTCAGTGCATAACATCACCTTTTTCCTCTCTCTCTCTTGCCCTCTTTTTTTTTTTTTCTCTCTCTCTCCAACATGTCAGTTGTCTCCCATCAAGGCAGGGTGACCCAAAAAGAAAGAAAATCTCCAAAAAGAAAATAGTTTCAGCATCATTCAACACTTTCACCTCACTCGCACATAATCACTGTCTTTGCAGAGGTGCTCAGATACGACAGTTTAGAAGTCCCTCCAAACTACCAATATACCAAACCCCTCCTTTAAAGTGCAGGCACTGTACTTCCCATTTCCAAGACTCAAGTCTGGCTAACCGGTTTCCCTGAATCCCTTCACAAAATATTACCCTGCTCACAGTCTAACAGCTCGTCAGGTCCCAAAAACCATTCGTCTCCATTCACTCCTATCTAACATGGTCACACATGCTTGCTGGAAGTCCAAGCCCCTCAACCATGAAACCTCCTTTACCCCCTCCCTCCAACCTTTTTGAGGATGATCCCTACCCTGCCTTCCTCTCCCTACGGATTTATACGCTCTCCAAGTCATTCTACTTTGATTCATTCTCTCTAAATGACCAAACCACCTCAACAGCCCCTCTTCAGCCCTCTGACTAATACTTTTAGTAACTCCACACCTCCTCCTAATTTTCACACTCTGAATTCTTTGCATAATATTTACACCACACATTGCCCTTAGACAAGACATCTTCACTGCTTCCAGCTGCCTCCTCGCTGCAGCATTTACAACCCATGCTTCATACCCATATAAGAGTGTTGGTACTACTATACTTTTGTACATTCCCTTCTTTGCCCCCATGGATAACGTTTATAGAGGCACACTGACCAGGCTGCAGCAGCGACCTCCAGAATTCTTTTTCCTCTTATCGTCAGCATTAATTCAAAATATTCACTTCATTTAACATCTCCCCAATTTCAGTTTTTAATGTCATTGTCCAATTCCTCCTCAAGCTTTCTCAAGTTATTCCTCATTCTCAGTGAAATATACTGAAAAAAAAGACCCACATGTTCTCTCATTTGCTCTAATTTTGCACTCTCTCACTTGTTTAACCTCTCTTTTTGTCCATATACCTTGCATTCATGTATCTTTTTTTACATTTTGAAACACACTCATGTGCAACACTAACTTTTTCTCACTTTCCACTCTACTCATTCCATCAGTCATTTGTATTCTCATCTGCACCTGCTCTTCTATAACCACAAACTTCTGCTGCACATAACTAGCACCTCTGATTTCATGTTCAATACCTGTACTCTCTCTCTCACCTGTCTACTAATAGTTACTCATATCTTCTGCTAACAGTATATATTTGTGTTAAAATTATTTAGTGCTTGGAATATTTCAAACTTTTAAGTTTTATATAGTGAAATTTTGAAAATTTCTTTGTTCACATGGAAAAAAAAATTCCTTGAAATTTATTCTGTATTTTAAATTGTGTTTCAGGAGATCACCACTTAGCCTTGTTGTTGGCCCAGGCTTGCCTTGGCCAGGATCATCCCCGCCAGATTTTGGCCCAGCAGCTGTCAAACTGGGCAGAGGGTGGAACTGATGCCCTGATGGCTCCATCCCGGCTGGTATTGTACTCACTGCTAGCGGCAGCACCCACTCATCAAGCCTCTCACACCACAGTCAATACCTGCCAAGGACTTGACTGGAGACGAGCATTTGCCCTTCACCTTTGGTTGGTATTCAAATTCATCTGGTCATTTACAAAAAATGATGCATCCAGCGAGTGTGTGTGAGCATGTTAGATAGGAGTGATTGGAGGCAAATGGTTTTTATGACTTGTCATACTGTTGGAGTGTGAGCAAGGTAACATTTATGAAGGGATTCAGGGAAACCGGTTAGCCGGACTTGAGTCCTGGAGGTGGGAAGTACAGTGACTGCACTCCGAAGGAGGGGTGTTGATGTTTACAGTATTGAACAGTAGTATCAGTGTGCCTCTAGCAAGAGAGTGATGGAGTGAGTGATGTTGAAGATGTTTCGTCTTTTTCAGGTCACCCTGCCCTGGGAGATGGCCATTTTTTTTTTTTTTAATATATTGGCTGTTTTCCACCGAGACAGGGTGATCCAAAAAAGAAGAAGCACTTTCATTATCATTCACTCCATCACTGTCTTTCCAGAGGCATGCCTACACTACAGTTCAAAAACTGCAACATATCTCCATCCCTCCTTCAGAGTGCAGGCACTCTACTTCCCATCTCCAGGACTCAAGTCTATCTAACTGGTTTCCCTGAATTCTTTTATAAATGATAGTTTGCTCGCACTCCAACAGCACGTCAAGTCATAAAACCATTTGCATCCACTCGCTCCTATTTAACACTCACTGGAAGCCTAAGCTGCTCACACACAAAACCTCCTTTACCCCTTCCTCCAACCTTTCCTAGGCCAATGTGTTGAAAAATGTTGATTAAATGACAGTTTTTATTTTTTAATTATGAACAGGTGAGGAGTTACAGGAAAAATAAAATGGCTTCTGCACTACCAGTTTAGATTTAAATACAGTATCTTATCTTGTTTTTTCTCTACTCTTGATGAACAACTGGGTTTTACAGGTATGTTTGTCCAGCAACATCAACCATAAGTGAAGCTCTTCAAGAGTATGAGCAAGCAGCTGGTCTGAGAGGAGATGCTCCTAGCTACTGTGAGGCTCCATTACCTCCATATTTAGCATACCAAGCTTTACCCAATGGCATGAAAGGTATAACAGCAACTCTAGAATGTTGTTAAGTGCATCTTATTGTCTTCCATCTGAAGAATTCTCTGGTAATCACCATTTATTTGAACCACTTATCTTCCTCGGATATTACAGACAACAGGCCCAAGCTTATAGGCCAGCTTTCTAAATTTTGATTGACTAATGTAAATTAGCTGTTAAATTATATATATAAAACATTTATTTAATGGACTGTTAAGGGGAAGGGGGGTAGCTGGTGATGGCAATTGTGGTGGATAGAGCATTTTGCCATGACAATAACAAATGGCGAATTTTGTCCATTGTTTCTGTATCAGCTGACTAAGCTGATATTGGCCTGAATTTTTGAGGGTCATTAAGTCGTGGTATGTTGAATCAAGGATTGCTGTTCTTGTGTGAAGTGTGGAATGGATTGACATCAATCATCAGCATTGTCAAATAGACTTACTTTGTACTGGCTTTAAGGGTGAGTGTGTTGAAGCCTCACTGTGATCCACAGCTCTGTTGTAGAACTTTTAACATGAATCTGGTAGAATCTGGAGGGGATTTCAGGGGTCAATGCCTCTGTGGCCGGGTCTGTGACCAGGCCTCATGGTGGATCAGGGCCTGATCAACCAGACTGTTACTGCTGGCTGCATGTAAACTGATATACTAGCCACAGCCCGGCTAGTCAGGTACTGACTTCAGGTGCCTGTCCAGCTCCTTTAAGACGGCCAAGGGTCTATTGGTAACCCCCCTCATGTATGCTGGGAGGCAGTTGAACAGTCTTGGGACTAGTCCCTCTACTATTTCCTAGGTGTAATTATCATGTATCTTTCTTGCCTGTATTCCAGGTAAATGCAGATTAAGGGACTTCAACCATTCCCAGCAATTTAGGTGCTTTATTGTACTTATATGAGCCATGTAAGTTCTCTACAATTTTGCCTGCCATGAAGGGGACCGTTAGTGTACAGCAATATTCCAGCTTAGAAAAAACAAGCGATTTGAAGAAAGTCATCATGGGCTTGGCATCCCTTGTTTTGAAGGTTCTCATTACCCATCCTATTATTTTCCTAGTAGATGTGATAGATACATTGCTGTGATCTTTGGAAGTGAGATCCTCCAACATTGTCACTCCCAAGTCCTTCACATTAGTTTTTCACTCTATTGTGTGGTTAGAATTTGTCTTATACCCCCTTTGACACAGTTTTAATTTCCTTGAGTTTTCCATAGTGGAGTAATTGAAATTTGCCTTCATTGAACTTCATGTTTTCTGTGGGGCCCATTTAAAGATTTGGTTGATGTCTGCTTGGAGGCTTGAAGTGTCTTTGATGGATGACGCTGTCATGCAGATTCGGGTGTCATCCTCAGTGGAAGACACTCTGCTGTGGCTTACATCTCTGTCTGTGTCAGATGTGAGGTGAGGAACAGGATGGGAGCAAGTACTGTACCTTGTGGAACAGCTTTTCACTGGCTGCCTCTGACTTTACTCTGTTTACTATTACTGTTTGTGTTCTGTTAGGAAGTTATAGATCCATCCTACCAACTTTTCCTGTTATTCCTTTATCACACATTTTGTTCATAGTCATTGGTGGGGCATCAAACCAGTTTTCCAATTACCAGAACAAACTTTCCAATTCTCTGCATCTTCACCCTTAGAAGATTTTGAGGGTCACCTGAAATCTTTTTCTTGAATTGGCTTCCTAAGAAGAAATTTTCACTTTTCAGCTAGCTATGATATCTGCTACCACTTACTGAAGCTGTTTACTGATCCCATGCATCAGTTGGAAGCTCTTCTTAATCCTGCAACCATCACACCAGACCCACTTGATGTTACTGTCAGGTTAGATTATTAATTTGTTTGTTTTATAATCACTGCATTTTATTTATGCACTCTACTATTTCAGTTTTAGGAGGGTTATGTATGTGTGTATCAGTTAGGAGGGGTATGTGGGTTGAAATGTAATAACACACCAGCTGTCTTCCAATGATGTAGGGTGACCCCCCAATAAAAGGAAACACATTCACCATCATTCATGCAATTACTGTCCTAATAATAAAGGTAGAATTTCTGACAATATGTAACGTATAAGGACATGTGCAACTAATGTGACATTGTAATGTGGCAATGTTTTGCTCTCCAGGAGCTTTGTCATGCCTTGACAAAGCTCCTGAAGAGGGAAATGTTGCCACAATGAAATGTCACATTAATTGCATGTGTGTCCTTTTACCTTATAATAACTGTCTTGCCAGTGTGTGAAGACATCACAATTTAAATGACCCTCTGATCTATAATTACTGTACCTCCATATAGGGTTATAAATTTTGTACAAGTACACAGTTACATTTTGCTAATACTGTGCTTTTTGGGGGACTCTGCATAGAGGTTGCAAAGGTTAGTGGACAAGTTTGAAAGTGAATATGGATAAGAGTAAGGAGATGAGAATATCAAACAACTTAGATAAAGAAAAATTGGAGATCTCATTAGAGGGAGGGAGTATGGAAGAAGTGAATGTTTTCAAATATTTGAGAGTTGACTTGTCAGTAGATGGGTTTATGAAGGATGAAGTAAACCATAGAAGTGATGAAGGAAAAAAGGTGAGTGGTGCATTGAGGTATCTATGGAAACAAAGGACATTATCCATGGAGGCAAAAATGGGAGTGTACGAGAGTATAGTGGTACCAACACTCTTATATGGATGTGAAGCATGGGTTGTAAATGCTGCAGCGAGGAGGCAGCCAGAGGCAGTGGAGATGTCATGTCTAAGGGCAATGTATGGTGTAAATATTATGCAGAGAATTCGTAGTGTGGAAATTAGGAGGTGTGGAGTTACTAAAAGTATTAGTCAGAGGGCTGAAGAGGCGCTATTGAGGTGGTTTGACCATTTAGAGAGATTCGAACAAAGTTGGATGACTTGGAGAGCATATAAATCTATTGGGGAAGGAAGGCAGGGTAGGGGTCATCACTGAAAAGGTTGGAGGGAGGGGGTAAAGGAGGTTTTGTGGGCGAGGGGCTTCGACTTAAAGCAAGCGTGTGTGAGTGTGTTTTAATAGGAGTGAATGGAGACGAATGGTTTTTGGGAACTGACGAACCGTTAGTGTGAGTAATATTTTGTGAAGGGATTCAGGGAAACGGGTTAGCCGGACTTGAGTCTTGGAAATGGGAAGTACAGTGCCTGCACTTTAAAGGAGGGGTTTAAGATACTGGCTGTTTGGAGGGATATCTAAACTGTTGTATCTGAGTGCCTCTGCAAAGACTGATTATGTATGAGTGATAGTGAAAGTGTTGAATGATGATGAAAGTTTTTCTTTCTTTTTGGGTCACCCTGCCTTGGTGGGAGACAGGTGGCATGTTGAAAAAAAAAATCAGTAACTACAAAAACTAAAACTACTAGTACAACTTCAACTACAACAACAACTTTGGCTGCAACTTCTTCAACTGCAGCTACTTCAAATGAAACTACAACAACTGTTCCAACAACTCTTAACTCCAGTTAGCTAAACTTCACTCCTGGAGGTGGGAAGGGTAGTGCCTACAGTGAAGGAGTGGGTGGGGATGTTGCAGTCTCAGGGGTAATCTGTTTATAATGTCGGCATGCTTCTGGAAAAACAGCGATTGATTGAATGTTTTCTTCTTTTTTGGGTCACCTTGCTCCAAGGGAGATATCTGTTAAGTTAAAAAAAAAAAATTATAATTTTATTTTTATCTTTTTAATAATTAAGCGTAGAAGAAGTGGTTACTAGCCCATTGTTCTTGCTATTTATGGCATGCATGTCTTATGGGAAGAGAGGGTAATGTAAAGTGTGATGCCCACACACTTCTGGCAAAAAAAAATAAATCAGCTGAATGAATGATTGTGAATGTTTTCCCTTCTCTGGGTCTCCTAGCCTTAGCATTAAATGGCTATTGAGGTAAAAAATATATCATTTTCGTGTTTTTATTTTTTCAGCTGGCTGCTATGGCGCATTCTGGAGAGCCTCAGTTACCAGCACCTTTCACCACAATTAAGTGCTAGCTTACACCTCAGCATGGCAGCTCTCATGGAGTCAGAAGGACACTGGCATTGGGCCATTTTTGTTCTCCTCAGCATTAATGATGAAGATAGGTTAGTACATCTACTGAAGTTGTGCATAGAAGAATCAACTTGTGTATGTTACATATATGAGGAAAGTTTGATACAGGTGGTAATTTATGTACTATTCTTGGAATAATAAGAAGAACCATTATTTGGGTCTTAGTTACTTAAAAACTTTAAGTCCAATATTTGATGAGTGAGTTGTGACTATGGGCAATATTCCTTACACCTTTTGACCCTGTTCACAGAGCAGTAGGTACCAGTATGTTAGATGAGTGTTGCAGGTTGCATCTTGGGGGATGCTGACATAATGCTTGGTTCTGAAATGAGCTGAGACAGATTAAAAGCTATTAGCCCATACCCATAACTTCATCACTGTAAGGAACTCTTGGTACATCTAAGCAAAGTTACAATATTTGAAGTAAAAATTTACAGACGCAGTAAAGAAGTTAAAGAGCTTCTACAACGTCACGTTGCTGTTGGTGAAGAGGAGGAATCTGACCCTAAGTATGCTATGAGGGAAGATTTTGTCATCACCAAGCTCAGCATTCCTAAAAAGTGGATACACCAAGCGAAAGCAACCAAGGCTCGGTCCCTGAATATGTAAGTATTTTTAATTGTGTAAAATAAATTTAGATAAAATTCAGTAATGCTTATTTTGTATGTTTTGTATTTTTCAATATTAATCATGTTTAGAATTTTTAATGTATATCACTTCAACGAAGTTAAGTGGTATACATTAAAAATTAAAAATTACATAGTTGTTTGGTAAAACCCAATAATACTTATATGATTTGTATTTATTTTTATTGATGCTTTTGTAAATAATTTTTTTTCTCTAGGGTTGATGAGGAGGCCTGGTACCTGTTGAAGGCTGGGGATTACAATCGTGCCCACATGCTTATTGTTGATACCATTGCTCCAAATTCTATAATAAACGGTAAGTTTACATTACCAATAGCAAGAGAAGTGCAAATATTACCTGGAGTAGAATGATAATATAATTAAATGTTTGTTCTAACATAATTTTTTTTTTAACGAACTGGCCGTATCCTGCTGAAGCAGGGTGACCTTAAAAGAAAAGTGAAAGTTTTTTTTTTTTTTAATTTTAGTAATTTATGCACGAGATAGGGTTACTAGCCCCTTGCTCCCGGCATTTTAGTTGCCTCTTATGACACACATGGTGGAAGAATTTTTTTTTCCACTTCCCCATAGAGATAAGAGGAAAATAATAAGAACAAGAATTATTAAGAAAAAGTCAAAGAAAACTAAGATGAGTGGGTGTACATAAACATGTATGTGCATGTGTAGTGTGACCTAATTGTAAATAAAAGTGGCAAAATATACCTGTTATCTTGTGTGTTTGAGACAGGAAAAAAGACACCAGCACTCATACCATCATATAAAACAAATAGAGGTTTCTGTCTTACTTACATTTGGCAGGACAGTAGTACCTCCTTGGGTAGTTGCTGTCTACCAACCTACAGTACTACATTTTGGAACTGAAGGAAAGAGGATGAGTAGTGCTTTGGGGTATCTATCGAGACAAAGAACATTATCCATGGAGGCAAGGAAGGAAATGTTCAAGAGTATAATGGTACCAACACTTATGTGGGTGTGAAGTTGCTTCTTTCTTTCAACAAACTGGCCGTATCCCACCAAGGCAGGGTGGCCCAAAAGGAAAAATGGAAGTTTCTCCTTTTAAATTTAGTAATACTGTATATACAGAATTCGTTACTTTCACCTTGCTGCCGTCATTTTAGTCACCTCTAATGACACACATGGCTTACAGAGAATGAATCCTTTGCAGATGGGAATAAGTATGTTTACTGATGACAGTTTAGGAGGTGTAGTCTAGACTAGGCTGTGTGATTTGATGATCCCTGGAACTATTAACAAATATTAACTGTCATCGGTCAAGATATGTTGTTCTAACTAACTTTAAATATTTCTCCGCAGAGGACCATCAGTACTTGCATGGCTTCCTGGACCAATTGTGTGATGATGGCATCCGTAGTACTCTTGTTGATTGGGCTGTTGGTGGTGGTGTGTATGCAGATTACTTAGATGTGTGTTCCGTAGTGGATGACATGAAGAAATCTGCTGACCCCACTCCTGCCCAGCTTGAACAACTTCGACCTCGTCTTCTAGCACTTTGCTCCAGACTGAACAATCTCAAATGCCAGACAGCTACACACAGGTAAATATGTAACAAACAAGGATGTCAAAACAATTGTTGCCATAATGCTTATAGGGAATTTGTTAACTGGTTGCTTTGTTCATGGTTGCTTTTCTGGAGGAGCACAGATATTGTCCATTGGTGACCTACATAAATGGAGCCTCCCCACCAACATTAAAAGTGCATTCACTGTACTTCCAGTCTTCCAAAATTAATTTGAAAAGCTGGTTTTCAGAGTCACTTCATAGATGTTCCTTTCTTAACAGCTATATAGCAGGTTAGGTTCCAGGCTACTGCTGTAAAGTGAAACAGCTTCCCTCTCTCTCTCTCTCTCTTTTTTTTTTTTTTTTTTTTTTTTTTTTTTTTTTTTTTTTTTTTTTTTTTTTTTTTTACAAATACATATACATATACAAAGAACTTTGTCCTTGGAGGCAAAGTGGGGAATGTATGAGAGTATAGTTTTACCAACGCTCTTATATGGGTGTGAAGCATGGGTGATGAATGTTGCAGCGAGGAGAAGGCTGGAGGCAGTGGAGATGTCATGTCTGAGGGCAATGTGTGGTGTGAATATAATGCAGAGAATTCATACTTTGGAAGTTAGGAGGAGGTGCTGGATTACCAAAACTGTTGTCCAGAGGGCTGAGGAAGGGTTGTTGAGGTGGTTTGGACATGTAAAGAGAATGGAGCAAAACAGAATGACTTCAAGAGTGTATCAGTCTGTAGTGGAAGGAAGACGGGGTTGGGGTCGGCCTAGGAAAGGTTGGAGGGAGGGGGTAAAGGAGGTTTTGTGTGTGAGGGGCTTGGACTTCCAGCAGGCATGCGTGAGCGTGTTTGATAGGAGTGAATGGAGACAAATGGTTTTTAATACTTGACGTGCTGTTGGAATGTGAGCAAAGTAACATTTGTGAAGAGATTCAGGGAAACCGGCAGGCCGGACTTGAGTCCTGGAGATAGGAAGTACAGTGCCTGCACTCTGAAGGAGGGGTGTTAATGTTGCAGTTTAAAAACTGTAGTGTAAAGCACCCTTCTGGCAAGAGTGATGGAGTGAATGATGGTAAAAGTTTTTCTTTTTCGGGCCACCCTGCCTTGGTGGGAATCGGCCAGTGTGTTAATAAAATAAAATAAAAAATATACAAACCTGATAACATGTGTATACTATCTTATAATAAGTGAGCAGCAGAGTTAAGCCTAAAATATGCATATACAGGACATACATTACATATTTTTTTTTTTATTTACGCATCAGCTGTTTCCCACCAAGGCAGGGTGGCCCGAAAAAGAAAAACTTTCATAATTCACTCCATCACTGTCTTGCCAGAGGCATGCTTACACTACAGTTATAAAACTGCAACATTAATACCCCCTCCTTCAGAGTGCAGGCACTGTACTTCCCATCTCCAGGACTCAAGCCGGTTTCCCTGAATCCCTTCATAATATTACCTTGCTTACACTCCAACAGCACATCAAGTCCTAAAAACCATTTGTCTCCATTTGCTCCTATCTAACACACTCAAGCACGCTTGCTGGAAGTCCAAGCCCCTCGCACACAAAGCCTCCTTACATACCTTAAAATATTTTCATCCTTAGTATGGCAGGCCATCAACGTTCAAATAAGCTACCTAACTGTAACATCACCACATTCAAGTATGGGCCAGTAGGCATGCTGCAGTGTTCTTCCATTCTTATATTCTTATGTTTGTGTCGCAGTTGATTCCTGGATTGTGGAGGTTCAGTGAACTTCCCTTCACATTGGCTTTTGGGTTATGTACTTGTGAATTTATGCTGGGCACCTTTGATATACCTTTGATGATTTCTGAGAGTTTTTCTACTCCCTGGCATTGGGTTAGGCTCATCTGGTGCTTATATATACTGAAATGAGGTTGTAATCTGTATATATTTTAACTGAGGTTCTCCCTTCTCGTAATTTCTGTTATCTGTTCAGAGCCAACAGAGTCTTGGTAGCTCTGTTGTGTCTGTTGGGTTAATGAGCTTACAGGTATTATTTCTAGTACAGTGCTGTTATAACAGTCTGGTTGATCAGGTAAGCACCAGACAAGCCTGGCCCATGGCCAGACTCTGAGAGTAGACAAACTTTCAAAATTCATCAAAGGTATATCAAAGATATTTGCTTGTAGTGAATGGTGAATATGTATATTTATTGTAGGAAGTCTGAGTAAATGAAGAATGGGTATAATTGAAAACTGCTGCATTAATAAATTGCTGTAAAGAGAAGTGCTCTGTAGCTGGGCCCACTTGTACACTCCACACACTTTAGTCTAACACACCATTTCTCGGTAGTGGCTGTGAGTTGGCCACTCCTTATAATACTGGTGGTCATCTGGTATATTAATTAACAGAAGCACTAGACCAGCACCTGATAATTGTCTGAGCCATTGTCCTTAAACTTATTTTTCCTCACCTTCATTTCCAAAATATTTTTAATACATATGTGTTGACAAATTCACCTGTGTATTTGTTATGTATCTCTCAAACTCTTAGTATTTTGTAGTAGTTGGGAAGTAAAATGCAAACACTAACTTTTTCAGGGTTCAGACCCCTGATCTGAAATTTGTCCACAGGGACCAAGAATTTAAAAAAAAAAAATGTTTTGTTATTTTTCTCATGAATTGGAAGAGAATCTTTTTTCTGAAGGTAATAAAATAAGAAGTACGAAAGTTGATGGAAAATTGATGAAATTACGTTATCACAAATTTTGTTGTGTCTGATATTTATGAATTGACAATTTTGCCCCCCTTGAGTCCTATTTTAGGCCAATTACATTGTTCCAGTTGATGAAATTCTTAACTAATTTGCTAGTATGCCTTCCACTTTATCGATTGAGCATCAGAAACTGCCCATTAAAGTGATCAGAAATTGGTAATTTGGCCAGTTTCAAACAAATTTCAAAATATTCCAGTTTCAAAATAGGGATCCAGAATAAACAGTGCAGGCATTCCTGGCACTAAAATAACACTTCCTCTATTCATTAGTTACGTTTCCAGGCTTTACACATGAATTCCATTTTGATTTGTTATTCACACAAAAAAATAGAAGATTTGCTGTTATGCAATAATATAATTGTATAAATAATATGAGCATATTCATGAATGCATATTAGACCCATCAGTTGGACATGTATTGGATGTGTCTTGTGATTTGTTTACTCTTGAAAGTTAACAAAAATTGAACATTTGTGCTACTTTGAGCTCAATTTCAAGCTATTTTCAGTCCTGAAACCAATCAAAATCATCTTTGTTTCTGTAATATATCTTCCATTCTGTCAAATGAGACAAAGAAATCGAGCATGCAGCCACAAAAAGCATATGAAAATGCACTTCAAAATTGCTATTTTAAACCAGAAACACTCAGTTTTTTCCTCATGCACTGCGTGATGAAGGATTTTTTATATGGTGCTTACTTACTGCATAGACCCATTCTCTCATATCTAGGCTAAATTTACTGCTCACAGGTAATTTGAGTGAACTGAGCTCATGGTATAGTACTATGGCACTGACAGTGACCTCAAACCCATAGTACTATGGCACGGACAATGATACAGCCTCTCCTCAGTAATGTACTCGTTTACTAATGACTCAGACTTACGACGGGCTCTCTGACCAATATGCATACATAAATAATGTGCTATATTAGAACTGATTTCCTCTATTCTGTTTATTGCAATATAGAATACACTACTTTATAAATATTTAAATTATTTTATTTTATTATCACACTGGCCGATTCCCACCAAGGCAGGGTGGCCCAAAAAAGAAAAACTTTCACCATCATTCACTCCATCACTGTCTTGCCAGAAGGGTGCTTTACACTACATTTTAAACTGCAACATTAACACCCCTCCTGGAAGTCCAAGCCCCTCGCACACAAAACCTCCTTTACCTCCTCCCTTCAACCTTTCCTAGGCTGACCCCTACCCCGCCTTCCTTCCACTACAGACTGATACACTCTAGAAGTCACTCTGTTTCGCTACATTCTCTCTACATGTCCGAACCACCTCAACAACCCTTCCTCAGCCCTCTGGACAACAGTTTTGGTAATCCTGCACCTCCTCCTAACTTCCAAACTACGAATTCTCTGCATTATATTCACACCACACATTGCCCTCAGACATGACATCTCCACTGCCTCCAGCCTTCTCCTCGCTGCAACATTCATCACCCATGCTTCACACCCATATAAGAGCGTTGGTAAAACTATACTCTCATACATTCCCCTCTTTGCCTCCAAGGACAAAGTTCTTTGTCTCCACAGACTCCTAAGTGCACTACTCACCCTTTTCTCCTCATCAATTCTATGATTCACCTCATCTTTCATAGACCCATCCGCTGACACGTCCACTCCCAAATATCTGAATACATTCACCTCCTCAGTACTCTCTCCCTCCCATCTGATATCCAATCTTTCATCACCTAATCTTTTTGTTATCCTCATAACCTTACTCTTTCCTGTATTCACTTTTAATTTTCTTCTTTTGCACACCCTACCAAATTCATCCACCAATCTCTGCAACTTCTCTTCAGAATCTCCCAAGAGCACAGTGTCATCAGCAAAGAGCAACTGTGACAACTCCCACTTCATGTGTGATTCTTTATCTTTTAACTCCATGCCTCTTGCCAAGACCCTTGCATTTACTTCTCTTACAACCCCATCAATAAATATATTAAACAACCACAGTGACATCACACATCCTTGTCTAAGGCCTACTTTTACTGGGAAATAATTTCCCTCTTTCCTACATACTCTAACTTGAGCCTCACTATCCTCGTAAAAACTCTTCACTGCTTTCAGTAACCTACCTCCTACTCCATACACCTGCAACATCTGCCACATTGCCCCCCTATCCACCCTGTCATACGCCTTTTCCAAATCCATAAATGCCACAAAGACCTCTTTAGCCTTATCTAAATACTGTTCACTTATATGTTTCACTGTAAACACCTGGTCCACACACCCCCCTACCTTTCCTAAAGCCTCCTTGTTCATCTGCTATCCTATTCTCCGTCTTACTCTTAATTCTTTCAATAATAACTCTACCATACATTTTACCAGGTATACTCAACAGACTTATCCCCTTATAATTTTTGCATTCTCTTTTGTCCCCTTTGCCTTTATACAAAGGAACTATGCATGCTCTCTGCCAATCCCTAGGTACCTTACCCTCTTCCATACATTTATTAAATAATTGCACCAACCACTCCAAAACTATATCCCCACCTGCTTTTAACATTTCTATCTTTATCCCATCAATCCCGGCTGCCTTACCGCCTTTCATTTTACCTACTGCCTCACGAACTTCCCCCACACTCACAACTGGCTCTTCCTCACTCCTACAAGATGTTATTCCTCCTTGCCCTATACACGAAATCACAGCTTCCCTATCTTCATCAACATTTAACAATTCCTCAAAATATTCCCTCCATCTTCCCAATACCTCTAACTCTCCATTTAATAACTCTCCTCTCCTATTTTTAACTGACAAATCCATTTGTTCTCTAGGCTTCCTTAACTTGTTAATCTCACTCCAAAACTTTTTCTTATTTTCAACAAAATTTGTTGATAACATCTCACCCACTCTCTCATTTGCTCTCTTTTTACATTGCTTCACCACTCTCTTAACCTCTCTTTTTCTCCATATACTCTTCCCTCCTTGCATCACTTCTACTTTGTAAAAACTTCTCATATGCTAACTTTTTCTCCCTTACTACTCTCTTTACATCATCATTTCACCAATCGCTCCTCTTCCCTCCCGCACCCACTTTCCTGCAACCACAAACTTCTGCTGAACACTCTAACACTACATTTTTAAACCTACCCCATACCTCTTCAACCCCATTGCCTATGCTCTCATTAGCCCATCTATCCTCCAATAGCTGTTTATATCTTACCCTAACTGCCTCCTCTTTTAGTTTATAAACCTTCACCTCTCTCTTCCCTGATGCTTCTATTCTCCTTGTATCCCATCTACCTTTTACTCTCAGTGTAGCTACAACTAGAAAGTGATCTGATATATCTGTGGCCTCTCTATAAACATGTACTTCCTGAAGTCTACTCAACAGTCTTTTATCTACCAATACATAATCTAACAAACTACTGTCATTTCGCCCTACATCATGTCTTGTATACTCATTTATCCTCTTTTTCTTAAAATATGTATTACCTATAACTAAACCCCTTTCTATACAAAGTTCAATCAAAGGGCTCCCATTATCATTTACACCTGGCACCCCAAACTTACCTACCACACCCTCTCTAAAAGTTTCTCCTACTTTAGCATTCAGGTCCCCTACCACAATTACTCTCTCACTTGGTTCAAAGGCTCCTATACATTCACTTAACATCTCCCAAAATCTCTCTCTCTCCTCTGCATTCCTCTCTTCTCCAGGTGCATACACGCTTATTATGACCCACTTCTCGCATCCAACCTTTACTTTAATCCACATAATTCTTGAATTTACACATTCATATTCTCTTTTCTCCTTCCATAACTGATCATTCAACATTACTGCTACCCCTTCCTTTGCTCTAACTCTCTCAGATACTCCAGATTTAATCCCATTTATTTCCCCCCCACCGAAACTCCCCTACCCCCTTCAGCTTTGTTTCACTTAGGGCCAGGACATCCAACTTCTTTTAATTCATAACATCAGCAATCATCTGTTTCTTGTCATCCGCACTACATCCATGCACATTCAAGCATCCCAGTTTTATAAAGTTTTTCTTCTTCTCTTTTTTAGTAAATGTCTACAGGAGAATGGGTTACTAGCCCATTGCTCCCGGCATTTTAATCGCCTCATACGACACGCATGGCTTACGGAGGAAAGATTCTTTTCCACTTCCCCATGGACAATAGAAGAAATAAAGAAGAACAAGAGCTATTTAGAAAAAGAAGAAAAACCTAGATGTATGTATATATATATGCATGTGCGTGTCTGTGAAGTGTGACCAAAGTGTAAGTAGGAGTAGCAAGATATCCCTGTTATCTAGCGTGTTTATGAGACAGAAAAAGAAACCAGGAATCCTACCATCATGAAAAACAGTTACAGGTTTCTGTTTCACAGTCATCTGGCAGGACGGTAGTACTTCCCTGGGTGGTTGCTGTCTACCAACCTTTAATGTCACCTAAGGTGACATTAAAACAGTATCAAGGATGGTTGACACAAACCTGCTATCATTATAGTATGCTCCTCTCTTAGCGACAAATTCGTTTACCAACATGGTCTTAGGAACAGAACTCCGTCATTAAGCGTGGAGAGGCTGTACTGATTTTCTTCAAAACACCAAGACCTAAATGAATATTCTTCTTTGGAATTCCAGGATCACTCACATTCCTCCTGGTGCCATAGATACTATCCAGAGATGAGTTAGGATGATGAAACGATCAAGTCGCTTCACTATCACAGGCTGAGTATGGTGTTGGATATGTACAAATGAAGCACTGGGCAAAGGAGGTTGTGTGCATAATTAGGTCTCCTCCTCAAGACAATGTACATGACCCAAGATTCACTATGAGATGGAGGAGAGGGAATGTGGCACTTGCCACATTTTCCCCTACATGTACTCCACCATGTACACCAATTTTTAGAGTTTTCACAAAAAATATGCTGCAATTTTGCAACTGTGGTAAAGCAGAAACATGTTAACAAATCATGTGTATCCAATGGTCTGCTGTATGTGATTTTGTGAATGTAGAGCATGATGACCTGAGATACCTTTGATGATTTTCTCGAAGCCCAGCTCTGGGCCAGGCTTGTTGGATTATATTTTTACCCGAGTATCCCAAATTATTTCTTACATGTCATCAATAGTCCTGCATATAATTTTACAAGAGAGAGTAAAGCAATCTTCTGCAGTTTTTGTACAGAGAGTAACTGTTGAAACTTCTTTATTTTTAGATTGTGTGTGTCGGAGATGAGCCGCGTGGTGGTGGGAGTGTTGAGAGCAGTGGTGGGTGAGAGCACAGATGCAACACAAGTGCTCTCCCAGCAACTCTCTGGTCTACCCCTCACTCATGACTATGCCCTGACTGAATTAAACATGGTCACCACACACTACCTGACACATCTTTCTGCAGAGTCCTGGAAAGGATGACTTGTTTTGCCTGTATGTCTATACTGCAACATTTAATATTTGATTTGCTTTTGAAAATGCAAGTTCTGTTCTGATTTTTCTGAATTTTAAATATTAAAATTGTGTTTGTGAGTGCACGTGCTCTTACACATGAAAGTATATATATATATATATATATATATAGTTGCTAATTTTGTAAGTTCTTCTGTTTAGGGAAAGCTCATTCATGGTATTTAGATATTCAGTGAAGAAAGAGAGTATTAGTATGTGAACTGAGGCATAGACAATTTTCTTGGTACAAAAAAGTAAACAATGGCAGATGTTTAGAATGTATTTTAAACATGGAATTGTGTGAATTTATTCTGATGGATGCCTGTCTTCACTTTACCAAAAATGTGTAATTTGTGGATGTTTCTTAAATGTAAAATAGTCCTGTGTTTCCTAGAGAATGTGTTAAATAAAGGTATTGTGAAGATGTTTCCTAATCTTTGTATTTGTTCATATACATGTAAGTATTCAATATTTACCCATAATGTTGACACTGTACTATATGTGACAATTATTTTTAATAGGGATGAAATGAAAGCAGAGAATTTTAAAGATTTTCAGGTTGCTTCTACCTGTTTTTCTTTTGTAATAGATAACCCCGCTCTCAAAGGCTTTAAAATAGCAACAAATATGTGAGTTACCTTTCTGGGTAAACTGTATCTCCAAAGTACATTTAGGTTCAGTATTAGTTTGTCGTGAAGGAAAACTAATAATGTAGATAGCACCGTTTCTATATGCAACAATGTAAAATAGTGATAACATTATTAATTATTGTTGGAAAACACCATATTAGACATGACATGGCATTCTTGTGTATGAAGCCCAGCACTGCTTCTGGATAATTGCTTCTTTATCTAATGGGCGTTTTATTTTCAGCACAGTACCCCTTGCTGGAAGTCGCCAAGCATTTTTGTATTTTAAGGTGCAAATTATAACTAATTGTTGAAGTAGCACAAGTAAGGTATATTTGTATTTTCATCTTGCATGCATGTTTTTTGTGAGAAAAACTTTATAAACAATTTTTAATATAAAAAGGGATGTGTCAGATGAGTTACTGTATTGTTTTATAATTCTTCTTTCAATGCATCAGCTGTATCCCACCAAGGCAGGGTAACCCAAAAAGAAAAGCAAAAGTTTCTCTTTTTAACTTTAGTAATGTATACAGGAGAAGGGGTTACTAGCCCCTTGCTCCCTGTTTTATAATTATAGTAAATAAAATAAAAAGCTATCATTGATGCTTATAAATGGTGCAGTCTGGTCAAACTTTATTTGTAGATTCAGTGAGTAATATTAGATATTCTTCTGTCCTCTCATGTTCTTATCACATAGTTACCTCAAATATTTGTAAGGATTCAAGATTGAAGACTGGAAATGTTCTCTGTGGATCTGGGTCATATTCTGATATTGTAATGTTTATATTTATTAATTTTTTTAAGACTGCATATTTTGCTCTGAATTATTAAAGAACTGGTCTCAAATATTTGTAAAGATTCAAAATTGGAACTGTTCTCCATGTTTCTGGCTTTTATTCTGATATTGCAATGTTTATATTAATGTTTGTTTGTATTGGCAGTTTGGAGGGATATGTTGTGTATCTTTATATGTATATGCTTCTAAACTGTTGTATTCTGAGCACCTCTACAAAAACAGTGATAATGTGTGAGTGTGGTGAAAGTGTTGAATGATGATGAAAGTATTTTCTTTTTGGGGATTTTCTTTCTTTTTTGGGTCACCCTGCCTCGGTGGGAGACGGCCGACTTGTTGAAAAAAAAAAAAAAAAATTTAAGACTACATCTTTTGCTTTGATTTATTACAGAACTGGTCCTTAATAAGCTTTGTATTTTTAAATTTTCTGTGCAGGAAAGAGAAAGTAATCATTCTGGTAACTTGTTAAATTCAAAATTCTCCTTAAAATATCCATATTAGAGATTTTCCAAATAGAGAATGCTTTACTATATTATATTTTTGGAATGATGTAGGATTTAACATTTTTTAAAAACCAGGTTTAAAAATTTAGTTTTGGAAAATTCTAATTTGGATTGTTTTATCCAAATATGAGAGGCATCAGATTTCTACTATCCCTTTATTTTTTCCTTGAATTCAAGGATTCATGTGTTTGCATTATTGCAGATAAGTGAAAGATTAATGTATTAATAGCTTTCATAATTGCTGGGATTGGTAATAGTATTGTACCTTTTTGTTCTTTTTCAGTAATTGAAGTGTTGCTGGTGTAGGCTGTGAAACTTGTCTTTTTCAGAAATAATGATGGTAAACAATGAGCTGCTTACTGCTATGTAGTTACCTGAAGTAGTACCTAGTGTCCCCCTTTGCTTGCTTTATACATTGCAATTTCATTTTATTAAGAGTGTTCTAATCTAAATCTTTTGTAAATTTACCCTTTTCTAAATACTGAAATATTCGACTAATAAAATTGGTACTTATTTATATGAAATATGCCCTAGTTTTATTGTTCTATTTTAGTTACAGGAACAATTTATTTGTTCTTAGTTTATCATAAGATATTAAAGTTTGTATAATGCACACTAAATAGCAAATACCATAAATACTGTAACATACACTAGGAAAGGTTGGAGGGAGGGGGTAAAAGAGGTTTTGTGTGTGAGGGGCTTGGACTTCCAGTAAGCATGTGTGAGCGTGTTAGATAGGAGTAAATGGAGGCAAATGGTTTTTGACAATGTGCTGCTGGAGTGTGAACAAAGTAACATTTATGAAGGAATTCAGGGAACCCAGTTAGCTGGACTTGAGTCCTGGAGGTGGGAAGTACAGTGCCTGCACTCTGAAGGAGGGGTGGAGATATGTTGCAGTTTTTAAACTAGTGTAGGTGCACCTCTGACAAGACAGTGATGGAGCAAATTATGATAAAAGTGTTTTTCTTTTTTGGGTCACCCTGCCTTGGTGGGAAACAGCTGATGTGTTAATAAAAACAAATTGATATATTTTTTCAATCATTTACGAAAGCATCACACTAAATAAAGGAGCGTTACAAGAGAGCTGACTGTAGACTCCATTTGTGACATTAATGGAGCTGTCAAGATGATCTTAACCTAGCTATCTTCTCAGCATCCCTTACCTTCATTGAATACGCTAAACTGTGTAGCATTACCAGCAATGATCAGCACTCGAACTTAATTGGTTCCAGAAGGCTGTTCAAGTAAAGAACGAATTTTTCCCAACCAATTTTCTTTTTGGTTGGGTGTTATCACTAACCCTTTTAAGCCCAGTGTTGACTTATTTATAAAATTATTATAAGGGAAAAACTCCAAAAAATGCAATGAAACACGAAATACATAGTTTACAGCGAAGTTCTGGAATGTCGATTTTGTTTGGTTGAGTGCCAAGCAAATGGTCAACTACTGAGCGATTTGTTTACCGAACAAAGCATTCAAATACCGAATTTTTCAAATACGAAGCTGTTGCGTACTGAAGTTGCTCTGTAATTTCCATTACTTAAACTCACCCTTGGCACTGGCCAGGTGAAAACGCGCTCCCGCTCTCACCACGAGTATAATAATAATTACTTTGAATATAATTAATAATCTTCATAATATAATAAGTTCCTTGAATATAATAATAGCTCTTAGGAATATAATTGTCATTAATATAATAATTCTCATGGCTATAATAAATACAATGAATATAATTTTCATAACTATTATAATATAGTTCTAATGACTGTTTATAATAATTGCAATGAATATAATAATTTTCATGAATATAATAATTGCAATGAATATAGTTGTCATGAATATAATTATTATCATGAATATAACCATGGTGTTTTACACATTAATATAGACTACAGTTCTTTTGTTAACATCCTGAGCTTCCCCTCGTTCTTTCCCCTCAAGGCTGATGAAGGGCTCTTGATCCAGGGAAACAGATGCCCTCTTCTACCTTGGATCAAACCTGATTATCTACCCCTATGGGTTTAGTGTTCCCACCCATGAATGTAATTACCTTGCTCATGACTTGTGCCCTTTCACATGTCCTGTGTAATTACCATGATTTTCAGAGGTCTTTGAGGGACTCTTGATCCATGGAATTTGACCTGACCTTCCCTTCCTTGGATCAGACCTGATTATTTTTACTCTTCCAAATGCTGTATGACCCATATGGGTTTAGTACCTTCCCATGAATGCAACAATAATAATATATTCTGCTGAGTGCACTGCACTTAGGTGTACCACCCAGCAGGTGTATCACACAGGTGTACCACCCAGCAGGTGCACCATACACAGGTGTACCACCCAGCAGCTGTACCACCCAGCAGGTGCACCACAGGTGTACCACTGTGGCATGCAAAGAGTATATAACCTTCATTCGGCGCATGCACACACCCTCATTTACAGGCTATCTCCCCCACCCAGCGAACCAGGTGACTGAGGGTTGACGATGGGGCCCCGTCGTTCAACCAGTACCCAGGTTCCAGCCAATAAGAAGATGGTTTTGGCAATCGCAGAGGTTATGTGGGTACCACTCTCCTGTCTGCCCTGGTCATTCCCATTCTAGAGCTGGTTGAAGCACGGTCTGCTCTCTAGTGGCTTCTATTCTGCCTTGCTTACCGTGGAGTGCACTAATACCTATCGCTGTACAAAGTGTATATAGTGTACATACTTCTGTTCTAAATTGGTGAAGGATAATATAAGTCAAAAGTTTTCTGCTGTGTTTATTTTGCTCCCTTTACACCCAGGATAACAGGCCATTTGAAATCCTGGGTTGTAATAATCACCTAGGTGCACCACCTAGCAGGTGCACCACCCAGTAGGTGCACCACACACAGGTGTACCACCCAGCAGGTGCACCACACACAGGTGTACCACCCAGCAGGTGCATGAAAAATGAGAAACTAGGATAATGACACAAGCAGAAAATATGAAGAGTTTTTATTTTTGTAAGCTATAGATTATCGTCCATTATTCTTTGGTTACTCGCATACAAAAATTTAGTCACTCAGAAGACCACTAAATATAGCGCCTACAAATTCCCCAACCAACGTAAGAAGACGCTGGTTCCAATGTTTCCCAGCCTGTGGCTTCACAGGTAGATACACCCTTACGTACCTCTACACACATATTGAGCAATACTATATTCGTACAACACACACACATTATAAATATATAAGTAAAAATATAAAACTAGATTTTCCTATTTCCGGGTAGAGAGCCAGGGATTGATTTATTTGTGTGGAGGAAGGTAGGAACTGGGAATTCGTGGTGGGGACCTGACCTGAGGCTGCTCCACTGCCTCAACTTCTTCCTGCAGTGGTTGTGATTCTTGCACGACCTGTGATACGTCCAGGGAAACTGTGTCTTCTTTTGTCCCTAGCTCGGTAGGAAAGAGGGACGTGGGTACTCCAGCAGCGAGTTCTGAGGCGGTTCCTTCACGTATGAAGACTGAGAAGGATGTGTCTGTGTCTGGGCCAGTGGGGAAGACTGCAGCTTGAGCACCATTTTGACTTGGGGCACTCTCGTCATCCCCTGGATGACTCTTATCTTCCAGGGGAGCTGAGATGAATGTGATATTCTCATCTTGACTGGCTGAAGGTAATGTGGCGCTTACTGCTTGGTCATCTGAGATCAGTGTTGGGCTCTCGTCTTGGTGGTCATGCTGCGTGACTGGAATCAAGGTTACTGGTTCTTGTGTTTCAGGTAAAGTGGCAGTTTCCTGAGTTGGGAAAATAATAATAGTGTCTTGGTGTTCAATAGTTTGAGCAGCTGGTACATGATGTTCAACTGCTGCCTCAGCCTCATGCTGATCCACACCCACTGAGAGATGGTCAAGAGATCCAGGGGTAGGCTCTTGCTCTGCCACAACATGGGACTCGGGAGCAAATCCATCAGCAATTTCATTCTCGGAATCCTGGGCAGTGGGAGTCACAGTGAGCGTAGGTGGATGCTGATCATCTGAAGTCTCACTTGCAGTCTCCAGTACCTGAGGCTGTACAGTTTCACTGATCACTTCTGGTACATCTGTTGCTACTTGGAAAAAGAGTAATAAACTATCTCCCAGGCTGTCAGTCTTGTCAGACGGAACTAAAGTTTGTGGAGCTTCTGTATCATATGTATGTTCCTGAGGTTTGTCAAACCTATCTGATTCTTCAGGCTCTTCTCTTGGATGTGGAACGTCAGTAACTGGCTCTGATCCTACCTCGGTCACCTCTGTATCACCAAGAGCAATGTCTTGTGCTTCATGTAATAGTGAAGGATCCAGAGGGAAGTCTTGCTCCTTCACCGTTTCAGCAACACCGGTTGGCAAGATAGGCTCAGTAGACAGTTCATGTTGTACTTCACTGTCTTGCTGTGGGCTTACACAGACAAATTGACTACACTGAATTAAACTGTCTGTGAATTGCTCAGTATCTGAAATATCGGGACTGGTTGTGATTTCTTCTGTCAGGTCAAATTTATGTAATTCCTCATGTTGTCCTTGAAATGTCTGTTCAGACACTTCCAGTGGAACAGACTGACCTTCCTGGATCTCTTGTTGTCCGAGTGCAGTCACATTTTGTGGTGCAAAATCAGCAGAATGTGTGGCTGGGAAAGCAGAGAGCAATGGACCTACTGATACCACTTCCCCCGTCACAGTACTGTCTCCAGATTCTACTCTTGTCTCTTGTTCCAGTCCACTTTCTACTGGGACAGAAGCTGGCACATCATCACTGACTTGGGACAACTCAGGAGACTCACCAGATGGAGAAACTAGACTGTGCTGGTCTTGGACGGGAAACTGAATAGGTTCATATGTATCTTCTGCTGTCTTGACAGCATCCAGAGGCAGGACTTGAATTGGCTCTTTGAAATCATCAGTAGCAGTTTCACTTTCACTATCAGTACTGAGCTGATCCTCAGTAGGGAGCTCACTGGGCAGAGATACATGCTCCTCCTCTTGAGGGAAGCTCTCACCAGGGGTGAGTTGAGACACACCAGGTACAATAAATTCCTCCCCAAGACCGGACTCAATGCCAGACGGGGATCCTTGACGGATGTCAGCTTCTATATCAGAGGCCCCGGTACCTTTGACAGGTACTTCATACAGTTGAGTGATCTCATTGACCTGTCGTGGTGTGCAGTCGACAGTGTGTCCTTCACACTCAGTGGTGACCTCAGCTACAGGTGACACTTCACTGAGGTCACTTTCATCAGTTGCTCCAGGAAGGAGAGATATAACATCAGTCTCCACCTCTGGCTCTACCAGGGACAGTTGGGAACCTTGTGATGATCCAATATCTTCAGGCTGAGGGAATACTTGTTCGGGCTGAGGGAACACTTGTTCAGGCTGAGGGAACACCTGTTCAGGTGCACCAACAATGTCTTCAGTCTGAGAGAACACTTGTTCAGGCTGAGGGAACACTTGTTCAGGTGCACCAGCAATGTCTTCAGTCTGAGAGAACACTTGTTCAGGCTGAGGGAACACTTGTTCAGGTGTACTAGTGATGTCTTCAGTCTGAGAGAACACTTGTTCAGGCTGAGGGAACACTTGTTCAGGCTGAGGGAACACCTGTTCAGGCTGAGGGAACACCTGTTCAGGTGCACCATCAATGTCTTCGGTCTGAGAGAACACTTGTTCAGGCTGAGGGAACACTTGTTCAGGTGCACCAGTGATGTCTTCAGTCTGATGGAACACTTGTTCAGGCTGAGGGAACACTTGTTCAGGTGCACTAGTGATGTCTTCAGTTTGATGGAACACTTGTTCAGGCTGAGAGAACACTTGTTCAGGTGCACTAGTTATGTCTTCAGTTTCATGGAACACTTGTTCAGGTGCACTAGTTATGTCTTCAGTTTGATGGAACACTTGTTCAGGCTGAGGGAACACTTGTTCAGGTGCACTAGTGATGTCTTCAGTTTGATGGAACACTTGTTCAGGCTGAGAGAACGCTTGTTCAGGTGCACTAGTGATGTCTTCAGTTTGATGGAACACTTGTTCAGGCTGAGGGAACACTTGTTCAGGTGCATCAATGATATATCCGGTCTGAGGGAGCACTTGTTCAGGCTGAGTGAACACTTGTTCAGGTACAGTAGGGACTTCAGGCTGCACTTCCTTGCCGGGCACCAAGTTCGATTCTTCCTGTGGCTGTCGAACGTCGACACCATCCAGTCCTGATACACCATCCAGTACTTCAGATGCACCATCCAGTCCTTCAGAGACACCATTCAGCACTTCAGAGACACCATCTAGTCCTTCAGAGACACCATCCAATACTTCAGAGACACCATCCAGTCCTTCAGAGACACCATCCAGTCCTTCAGAGACACCATCCAATCCTTCAGAGACACCATCCAGTCCTTCAGAGACACTATCCAGTCCTTCACCGATGTCCTGAACCCCTGTAACTACTCCGGAGGTGACATCTGTCTCCCGCTGACCTTCTAACACAATACCAGTCTCTTTGGGAGGGTATTCGTACCCGTACTGAACTTCTTCAGCGACCTCCTTCACTTCCGGAGCAAGGTCTTGATCTTCCTGACCTATTTCAGTGACTTCAGAAGCAGGCTGTTCTTCGTGAGCATGATCTACAACTTCAGTCACTTCAGAAACGGCAGGTTGTTCCTCGGGAACATGATCCACAACTTCAGTCACTTCAGAAACAGCAGGTTCCTCCTCTGGAACATGATCCACATCTTCAGTCACTTCAGAAACAGCAGGTTCCTCCTCGGGAACAAGATCCACAACTTGGTGAACATCATCTCTAATTTCAGTTACCTCTTGTGTTTCAGGAGTTCTTTCAGTGTCCTCTGGAACATGGCTAAAATCTTGCTGAACTTCCTGACCTTCCGTCACCTCTGTCTGAATAAGGTCCAAGTCTTGCTGAACTTGTGGTACATCTTTTACCTCTGGAACAAGGTACTCTTGAACATGATGAACAGCTTCAGTAATCTCTGGAACAAAATCCTCCTGAACTTGCTGAACCACTCCAGTCACATCTGGGACAAGGTCCTCCTGAACTTGCTGAACCACTCAGTCACATCTGAACAAGCCTCCGAACTTGCTGAACCACTCCAGTCACATCTGGAACAAGGTCCTCCTGAACTTGCTGAACCACTCCAGTCACATCTGGAACAAGGTCCTCCTGAACTTGCTGAACCACTCCAGTCACATCTGGAACAAGGTCCTCCTGAACGTGCTGAACAACTTCAGGTACATCTGGGACAAGGTCCTCCTGAACTTGCTGAACCACTCCAGTCACATCTGGAACAAGGTCCTCCTGAACTTGCTGAACCACTTCAGGTACATCTGGAACAAGGTCCTCCTGAACTTGCTGAACCACTTCGGTTACCTCTGGAACAAGGTCCTCCTGAACTTGCTGAACCACTTCAGGTACATCTGGAACAAGGTCCTCCTGAACTTGCTGAACCACTCCAGTCACATCTGGAACAAGGTCCTCCTGAACTTGCTGAACCACTTCGGTTACCTCTGGAACAAGGTCCTCCTGAACTTGCTGAACCACTTCAGGTACATCTGGAACAAGGTCCTCCTGAACTTGCTGAACCACTTCGGGTACATCTGGAGCAAGGTCCTCCTGAACTTGCTGAACCACTTCGGTTACCTCTGGAACAAGGTCCTCCTGAACTTGCTGAACCACTTCAGGTACATCTGGAACAAGGTCCTCCTGAACTTGCTGAACAACTTCGGTTACCTCTGGAACAAGGTCCTCCTGAACTTGCTGAACCACTCCAGTCACATCTGGAACAAGGTCCTCCTGAACTTGCTGAACCACTTCAGGTACATCTGGAACAAGGTCCTCCTGAACTTGCTGAACCACTTCAGGTACATCTGGAACAAGGTCCTCCTGAACTTGCTGAACCACTTCGGGTACATCTGGAGCAAGGTCCTCCTGAACTTGCTGAACCACTTCAGGTACATCTGGAACAAGGTCCTCCTGAACTTGATAACCGTTTCCTTTCGCCTCTGAGCCAAAGTCACCGTTCTGCTGAAATTGCTGAACTTCAGTTACCGGTGGGGTGAGGTCATAGCCCTGCTGAACAACTTCAGTGACATCGGGAAGAAAGTCCTCTCCAGGTTGAACCACATCAGTGACATCAGCAACAAGACCAAAGTCCTGGGGAACTTGCTGAACATCTTCGGCAATGAAGCCAGAGTCTTCTTGGAGGCTGCCATCTCCGACAGAGACTGAATCTGTATCTTGTTGCACCGGCTGGAGTGAGACATCGCCAACCTGCTGGTGATCTTCGCTGGTCTGCTCTCGCGGATCTGGTTTTGTGAACTCGAAGTCAATCACTTTCTGGGTGCTGCCAACTGCTATCGGTTGAAGAACTGGGAAGAGTGGCACTTCGTGGGCAACCTGTTGACTCTGTTGCACTTGTTGCAAGACATCTTGCGCCCTCTGGGCATCTAACCGGCTGTCGAAGTCCTGTCCATTGATGGTTATCCAGCTCTTGGACTCCTGTCCCACTATGCCGATGTGGTTGTTGAGACTATAGAAGTCTGGAGAGGTTTCACATTGCACACTGCTCCACCACTCGCAGGTAAAGTGTTGCTGGTTGAAGATGCTGCCATTAGGACACAAGAACGATTTGATTTCCACCACATTACAGATGTGAAACGCCTGGCACCTCGTCTCTGTGTCGGCGTAATAACCTGAGCAAGGGAAGAGTTGGCGCCGTTAGCAACACCCATCACGACTGATCGTTATAGAAACAGAGACACAAATGAAGTGTAATTAAATCCTTTACTGACAACGTTTCGCCCATGCAGTGGGCTTCTTTAAGTCCTAACGATGCCAGTAAAGGATTTATTACAATGTATTTGTGTGTTTACATCGTATCGGCATTTTATATAAATCTTACAAATATCATTAAACTTTAACATCTACATTACACATTACTGTGCTAACTAAAAGGCAATAAATTACTAAATTTTTAGCGAAAGTAATAAATTCCACCAGAATGTAATTCACTGACACAATAATTGAAAATGAAACAAAATTAGTCAGAAAAAACAATATCTATTGTTTACAGCTTTTGTCTACTGGTAATCGACAATTCATAATATAGTCATGGATAATATTAGTCTAAACTAAATTGATAACTGGTATTCAACATCTGAGGAGGGTCTCTACATCACCGAAAACATTTTTGTTAATTTTTTATACTGCTGAGTGTTTTTTTTTGGCTCACATTAGCATTTGTTTGACCATTATTATCATCTCCTTTACCAAGTGTATCAGAAAATACACCTGGATGTGTTCCGGGGGTCAACGCCCCCGAGGCCCTGTCTGTGACCAGGCCTCGTGGTGAATCAGGGGCTGATCAACCAGGCTGTTACTGCTGGCCGCACGCAAACCATCGTACGAAACACAGCGCGGCTGGTCAGGTACTGACCAGCTCTATTTTTCCAGCCTGTAGTGGTCTTAAATCTAACGTGAAATAAGTTATATTTACTAAGAGTCTGGCATCTTAAAATTTATGTACACACTATAAAACAATTAATATGCATAAATACGGGCTTCTCCGCGCACTGAACTTTGTTATCAAATATATCTTAATGGCAATAAAATCACGAAACAAGTGATTTTAAATCATTTACCAAACTGCGGCGGGCCAGGACTCGACCCTACGAACCTTGTACCGCCTCCAGAGACAGCACAATGTACGCATCACCTTACCACTACGCCACTGATCAGTGGCGTAGTGGTAACGTAAGTGATATCAATATATAAGGTAAGTAGGAGAGTTATCCCCGTAGAGTTACAGCAGAGTGACCGCTGCACGTAACTGTACTTGAGGTGAAAGTGGTACTGTGCCCTTTTATATAAAGCCAAGTAATTATTTTCAGTAGCAACGTTCCTCTGCCATTCGTGATAACCGGTCCGTCTCCTCTGTTTTGGATGAGGTTGTTCTCGCTGGCAGCCTCAACCAGTTACCATGATGCTACTGCTAATGATAGGGGCGAGTGTACTGGTTCAAGCACATACTGAAGCACCAGGACTCGAGTCCTGGAGGTAGAAAGTATAGTGCCTGCACTCTGAAGGAGGGTTTGGGGTATTGGCTGTTTAGAGGGACATCTAAACTGTCGTATCTGCTCGCCTTTGGCAAAACAGTGATTGTGTGAATGATGATGAGAGTGGTTTTTTTTTCGAGTCACCCTGCCTCGGTGGAATATATACGACTTTGTGTGCACTCACCTATTTGTACTCACCTATTTGTGGTTGCAAGAGTCGAGTCATAGCTCCTGGCCCCTCCTCTCCACTGATCGCTACTAGGTCCTCTCTCTCCCCCTGCTCCATGAGCTTTATCAAACCTCGTCTTAGAACTATGTATTCCTTCCTATGTGTGTGTGTGTGTGTGTGTGTGTGTGTGTGTGTGTGTGTGTGTGTGTGTGTGTGTGTAAAGAAAGAAAAAAGAGTTGAAATTACCTGGCAGGCGACCCTCGCAGGAGAAGCTGGTCTCTGGAACTCGCCAATATATAGGGTAGTCTTGGCCAGGCTCGCCAGGCACGGAATCTCGGAGCCACTGTAGCCCTGTCTGGTGGTCATGGTGGCCATGGTGGCCATGGTCGTCATGGTGGTGGTGCTCGTTCCCTGTTCCTACTGCTGATTCCTGTTTGGCAGCAGTAGTAAATGTAATGTTCCTATTTCTTGTAAATATCATTATTAATCTATATCTGTTTATATTTCTATCTGTATATTTATTACCATGACTTACATTGTTTCTCACAATTCCAAGAATTAAATTCTGAAAGAATTATAAATCTTAAAGACTGATAAATAAATGAAAGGAACATTAAGATATTCTCCGTGTGTTTGACATAGGTTAATTCTATATAATATGGCAAACATCTTTTCTGTGTGACAAACGTGATGGGAAGAATGAAAACACTGACTCTGCACTCTGGCATCCCTCAAGGGAGGTTCCTTGATGCTGGTGAGGGGCTCTTGATCTAGGGAATTGGATCTGTGCTTCAGTTTCCTGAATACAGTCTGACTTACTCACCCAGGACTAAATAATCAACACTTAATATTTAACATTACCAATAAATCTCCCAATTACTTAAATCTTAAAACTTCAAGACAACAAACAAGTCGAGTCGAGTCAGTTCAAGACAACATACAGTAAATTGATCATCTTGTTTGTTATACATTGTAATGCGACAAATTTGTACAACTATAATGCTTCAGTATCGAAATGTTCAATTTTCATTGTTTCAAATACTCAATTGTACTCCATACTGTAAATTGTTTACTGCAATATCTACCACTGAACCTGTCATTGCTTGTTAATTTTCAGTTAATTTTAAGCCTGTCCATAATGGTCTGCATACAAGGGGATTTTGACATGTATACACAACTACTGTAATTATCTGTACAACCATATATCATGTCCAAATAAACTATATGAATATGAATACCTTCTATCCCCCTCCCCACAGGCGCTGTATAATCCTACGGGTTTAGCGCTCACCATAATAATAATAATAATAATTATAATAATAATAATAATAATTTAAAAATAATAATAATAATAATAATAATAATAATGATAATAATAATAATAATAATATAATAATAATTTAAAAATAATAATAATAATAATAATAATAATAATAATAATGATAATAATAATAGTAATAATTATAATAATGCTCTCTGACAAGACCTAGAATTAGAGACATTACTTTAGTGCTTAAATGGGAAATAGGAATAAATAAAGTGGATATAAATAACGTGATAAAAATATCTAACCAAGAGAGGATTCGCAGTAATGGATTCAAACTGGAAAAAAATGATTGAGGAGGATAAAGCTCTGCTTTGGGAATAGAGTTGTAAGTGAGTAGAACAAACTCTTGACGAGCGTTACCGAAGTGAAAACTTTTTAAAAATGGGTACGGACAGGTACGCGAGTTCGTGTGAGTTAGAACAACATAAGAACATAAGAAAGGAGGAACACTGCAGGAGGCCTGCTGGCCCATACTAGGCAGGTCCTTTACAATTCATCCCACTAACAAAACATTTGCCCTACCCAATTTTCAATGCCACCCAAGAAATAAGCTCTGATGTGAAAGTCCCACTCAAATCCAACCCATCCCACTCATGTACTTATCCAACCTAGATTTGAAACTACCCAAAGTCCCAGCCTCAATAACCCAACTAGGTAGACTGTTCCACTCATCAACTACCCTATTTCCAAACCAATACTTTCCGATGTCCTTTCTAAATCTAAACTTATCTAATTTAAATCCATTACTGCGCGTTCTCTCTTGGAGAGACATCCTCAAGACCTTATTAATTATCCCCTTTATTAATACCTATCTTCCACTTATACACTTCGATCAGGTCTCCTCTCATTCTTCGTCTAACAAGTGAATGTAACTTAAGAGTCTTCAATCTTTCTTCTAAGGAAGATTTCTGATGCTATGTATTAATTTAGTCATCCTACGCTGAATGTTTTCTAACGAATTTATGTCCATTTTGTAATACGGAGACCAGAACTGAGCTGCATAATCAAGGTGAGGCCTTACTAATGATGTATAATAAAGCTGCAGTATGACCTCTGGACTTCTGTTGCTTACACTTCTTGATATAAATCCCAGTAATCTATTTGCCTTATTACGTACGCTTAGGCATTGCTGTCTTGGTTTAAGGTTGCTGCTCACCATAACCCCAAGTCCTTTTCGTAATCTGTATGGCTAAGTTCTACATCATTTAATTTATAAGTACTAGGGTTATGGGCACTCCCAAGCTTCAGAACCTTGCATTTATTCTACATTGAAACTGCATCTGCCACTTTTCTGACCAAGAATAGAGTTTGTTTAAATCCTCCTGAAGTTCCCTAACATCTACGTTTGAATCAATTATCCTACCTATCTTTGTGTCATCGGCGAATTTGCTCATATCACTAGTAATTCCTCATCAAGATCATTGATATATATTATAAATAACAACGGGCCCAAGACTGATCCCTGTGGAACGCCACTTGTTTACAGATCCCCACTCGGATTTAACCCCATTTATGGACACTCTCTGCTTATGTCAGTGAGCCATGACTCGATCCACGAGAGCACTTTTCCCCCAATGCCATGAGCTGCCACTTTCTTTAACAGTCTATGGTGCGGAACTCTATCAAAAGCCTTACTAAAATCTAAGTAAATAATATCAAATTCTTTATTGTGGTCAACAGCCTCAAAAGCTTTACTGAAGAAAGTTAATAAATTAGTTAGACAAGACCGGCCTCTTGTGAATCCATGCTGAGTATCATTAATCAAGCTATGCTTATCGAGATGGCTTCTTATAATCTCAGCTATAATTGACTCTAGTAATTTGCCTACAATTGAGGTCAGGCTTATTGGGCGGTAATTTGACGGTAACGACTTGTCCCTGTTTTAAAAATAGGAATTACATTAGCCATCTTCCACATATCAGACACTACACCTGTTTGAAGAGATAAATTAAAAATATTAGTTAATGGTTCACAGAGTTCCATTTTGCATTCCTTAAGAACCCTTGAAAAAACCTCATCAGGACCCGGCGACTTATTTTGCTTCAGTCTGTCTATCTGCCTCACAACCATCTCACTAGTGACTGTGATGTTACATAATTTATCTTCTTCTAGCCCACTGTAAAAATTAATTACTGGAATATTGTTAGTGTCTTCCTGTGTAAAAACTGAGAGAAAATAATTATTTAAAATCAAGCACATTTCATTCTCATTGTCAGTAAGGTGCCCATAGTTATTTTTAAGGGGACCTATCTTATCTCTAACTTTTGTTCTATAGACCTGGAAAAAACTTTTTGGGTTAGTTTTAGAATCCCTAGCAACTTTAATTTCATAGTCCCTTTTAGCTTTTCTTATCCCCTTTTTAATGTCCCTCTTAATGTCAATATACTGATTCATAAGATGACCCTCACCTCTTTTGATACGCCTATAAATTCCTTTCTTATGCCCTAGTAGATATTTGAGCCTATTATTCATCCATTTTGGGTCATTTCTATTTGATCTAATTTCTTTATATGGGATAAACGCTCTTTGAGCAGCATGTATAGTGTTCAGAAAACTGTCATATTGATAGCTCTCTTCGTTACCCAGTCAACAGATGATAAGTGTTCTCTAAGCCCATCGTAATCTGCTAAGCGAAAATCTGGGACTGTTACTGAGTTATCGCTACTATCGTACTTCCATTCAATGCTAAATGTAATTGATTTGTGGTCGCTAGCACCCAGTTCCTCTGAAATTTCTAAATTATTAACAAGGGATTCATTGTTTGCCATAACTAAGTCAAGCAGGTTATTTCCCCTTGTAGGTTCTGTCACAAACTGCTTCAAAAAACAATCCTGAAATACTTCTAAGAAGTCGTACGATTCTAAATTCCCAGTCAAGAAATTCCAATCAACATGACTAAAGTTAAAGTCTCCTAGAATTACTACATTATCGTGCCTTGTGGCCTTAACAATTTCCTCCCATAGTAGTTTCCCTTGGTCCCTATCTAAGTTAGGGGACGGTATATCACTCCTAAAATCAGTTTTTCATGCCCCTCTGAAAATTCTATCCAAACAGACTCTGTATGTGTTACTTCAGACTTAATACCCGTTTTTATGCAACAGTTCAAGCGATCTCGGACATACAATGCCACCCCACCCCCCCTCCAATACTTCTATCTTCTTGGAACAATTTAAAACCCTGAATATGACATTCCGCAGGCATGTCCCGACTTTTTGAATTAAACCACGTCTCAGTTAAGGCAAATACATCAATGTTACCTACACTTGCAACTAATCTCAACTCGTCCATCTTATTCCTAGCACTACGGCAATTAGCATAATAAACATTGAAAGACTCTCCTTTCTCTTTACCCTTCCTGCTCATTTCTATTTTCCTACTAAACCTATTACTGTCCTTATCACCCAAGGTCCCTGGCTTTTCAATATCTATCTCGTTCTTATTATTACTAGTTTCCCTAGAACTCGTAATATTACTACATGGGACTTCACTGTTTTCCTGCCAAAACCCATACCACTAACTATTCCTAGTTTAAAGTCCTAACTGCTCCCTCCACTGCAGTTGCCAGTGCTTCCACCCCACACCTAGATAAGTGAACCCCATCCCTAGCATACATGTCATTTCTGCCATAGAAGAGGTCCCAGTTGTCAATGAATGTTACCGCATTTTCCTTACAGTATTTGTTCAGCCAGCAATTGACACCAATTGCCCTGGACAACCATTCACTTCCAACTCCCCTCCTTGGCAAAATACCACATATGAGAGGGTTCCCACCCTTACTTCTAATTATTTCTATTGCTGACCTATACCTGCTAATCAGGTCCTCACTCCTACGTCTGCCAACATCGTTGCCTCCAGCACTGAGACAGATAATAGGATTGCTCCCATTACCTCTCATGATGTCATCCAGACGGCTAACAATATCCTCCATCCCAGCCCAGGAAAGCAAACTCTCTGTCTCCTACTCCTGTCCTTCAAGCAGAACGCCTATCCATATACCTAACTTGGCTATCCCCAACAACAACAATATTCTTACCTTCCTTAATGTCTTTCGTCGTGTCGTTCCCAGTAGTCAACTCACATTCGTCGGGTAGCACTGAGAATGTATTGGATGTTTCCACAACAGTTTCCACGGCAGTCTCTTTCTTCTTCATCGTTTCTACCTTTCCATTCGTCTTCTTAATCGTCAACTTCTTTCCCTGCTGTCCAGCCACTGACCAGTTTCCCTTCTTGACCTGAGGACTCAAAACAGGAGGACTACGAATCTTCTTGTTTTCCTCGGTCAATCGCCTAATTTCCAAATTCGCCAACCTCAATTCTTCCTTAAGCTGTTGGTAAAGTTGCTCGATGGAGGGCATCTTGCTTCAATTCTAGAGAGCGCGCAAACAGGTCTTCACAGAGCCAAGTACACGTCAACACTGCGCAAATGCCAACTCAATCAGGAGCTACTGCGCAGCACGTCCGCACGGCCCAATAGCGATGCGAACACCCAATAGCATGGGCTAGTAGGCTTACCGCAAAGTTCCTCTATCCTGTTGTGTGGTCCAGCCTCGACCCACAAGGGTATTATTTCCCCTGGGTGAGTCATAGGTGTTCCTACCATATCTCTCCCTCACCTACCGACATACACCTACTGAACCTACAGCAGAATACCTGGGACCTTAAAGGACCCCAATGGAAATAAGTCACTCTGTCTGACTTTTTGGGTTATCCTAGGTTCTCTACACATATGCTGCTATGTATGATAATTCTATGTAACTGTATTTGTGTATACCTGAATAAACTTACTTACTTACTTACTTACTTACTTACTGACGTCCTTGTCACCTTGCTTAAGTCTCCCAGCTCAGGCTGACACATTTCAGTACCCCATATATGTAACCCATCCTGTGTGATGGAACATGATAGGTAAATATAGCTTGCTTTTGTTCCCACAATGTAACTATCATATAGAATAGTGTAACAGCACACTGCTGGTGTTCCCACAATGTAACTATCATATAAAATAGTATAGCAACACACTCCTGGTGTTCCCACAATGTAACTATCATACAAAATAGTGTGACCACACAATTCAGAATTATCTAAGCTCATTCAATCACAACACAAGTAGAGGTGACTCACGTCATGTCTGGCGGGGGCCGGGATGAGCTGTTTCTGAAGGCGGCTCTCCTGAGCTTCCAAGAAGGCGGTGAAGTCAGGTGAGGCTGGAAGGAAGCTGGCGTAGCCCTGCTGCGGTGCCGCCAGCACCGTCGAGGTTGCTAGTGTCACTGCAACAATATTATTGTGTTACAGTAGGCAGGTTCATGCCTCCATTACTAGCTGCGTTGAATAACACATAATAATAATAATAATAATAATAATTATAATAATAATAATAATAATAATAATAATAATAATAATAATAATAATAATAAAAATAATAATAATAATACCTTATCCTACCACACTGACCACCTACCATCGTTCTCACCATCTATCAACATTCTCACCATCTATCAACATTCTCACCATCTATCAACATTCTTACCATCTATCAACATTCATACCATCTATCAGTACTCTGCCTCTTGTCTCTCAAATGTCTGGTTTATCTGTCATCCCTGGCTATTATTTCTCCATCTGTTTGTTAATGTGTGTGTGTGTGTGTGTGTGTGTGTGTGTGTGTGTGTGTGTGTGTGTGTATGCACTCACCTAATTGTGGTTGCAGGGGTCGAGTCATAGCTCCTGGCCCCGCCTCTTCCATGTGTGTGTGTGTATTTCAACCTTGATTATAGTGATGGGTTCTTGATCGAAAACATTGAACTTCTCTCTCCCTTCCTCGGATCAAACCTAATTTCCCCTATTCCTCCCTGGTGCTGTGACTCATACGGGTTTAGTGCTTTCCTTTCTTAACATTCCTTTTAACTTACTGACTTGTAACATTTAAAAATGTGAGAGAACTTTCCGTTTTCTGTGGTGGTGTCAGGGAGCGTCTGTCAGCGGTGGCTGTCAGCACTGTCAGTCTGGTGTCATGGTGGTTGTCAGCAGCGGCAGCGGCGATAATGGAACTGTCAGTCAGTTATCACGGTGAATGTCAGCAACAGCAGCGATGATAGTGATGGCTGACTGTCAGTAGCGATGATAGCTTTGACACTGATGCCCCGCTGGCTGTCGGCAGGAACGGCGGTACGGTTCTGTCAGTCAGTCGTCTTGTTAACAGCAGCAGCAGTATCAACAATGACAGGGCTGTAAGTCTTATGTCTCTCTGGCCGTCAGCAGCAGCAAACAGAACTGTCAGTCAGACGTCATAGGCTTGCCAATCAACAGAGGCAAGGCTGCTGACAGTATCAGTTTTTGCTGTGGGGTGAACGTTCACGGCGTCAGGAGGGCGTATGAGGTGACCAGGAAGTCTTGTAACCCATGAGAGAAGGGATCTCACAGTATTCCTCCCAGCTTCCTGGGGTTGAGGAAGGAGGGGAAGGATGGCGTCCACACCATCCTTCCTATCCTGTGGGGTACTCTTCCCTGCTCAGGTCACGCCCAACCTATGCTCCTTGCCCTTCCCTGTAGCCCTACGCTCCACTCCGCATCAAAATGTCCGTGATGTCGCAACTAGCTCTTTAAAAAGATAACTAAACATTGCGTTTTTTTCGTAAATGCGATTGAAAAAAAATCACTTTGAAAAATTGAATAGCAGTACGAAAAGGGCCCTCTAACACTATTCAATTTGAAAGTGCCTTTTCAAATGCATTACGGAAAAAAAAAAAAGAGCTTTGGAGAGAGCTGACTGTTTGCTAAGGCCCCCCCTACATTTCCCCTGCAAATTTGGGGCAAATTGGCGTTGTAAAAATAAAATATTTTACAGGATGACAGTGGAAAAGCGTTTACCACAATCGGGCCCTGAGGCTGGCCAGGTCTCACTCCCCAACATGTCACTAACACCAACATGCTGTGACTGACCATGGGCCCCAGCACGGGGCCTTTAATACCCCTGGGGGCCCATCCCTCGCCCCCAAACGCCCCCTTTCCTCATGCCCCTGGGGTAAAACCCCCAAAGCCCCTGCCCTGTTTTTTGGGGCTTCCACTGGGAAGAGCCCCAAATTTACATTAAAAAGAGCATGAAAAAGTTTTAAGAGAGAAGAGAAGAAGAAAGAGGGGGAGAGAGAAGAGAGAGAGAGAGAAAAGGGGAAAGGGGAAGAGAGAGAGGAGAGAGGAGAGGAGAGGAGAGAGGGGAGAGAGAAGAGAGAGAGAGAGAGAGAGAGAGAGAGGGAGAGAGAGAGCGAGGGGGGAGAGAGAGAGAGAGAGGAGAAAAAGAGAGAAGGGTGGGTAAAAGCTAAGTTTGGGGTACATTTTAGTCCCCCGTGTTACAAGCACGTTAATGTTGCATACACTAAAATAGCCCGAAATGCAAGACGTTCAAGTTAGCATACCTTCAGTACCCCATGATTAAAGGACCTTACCGCAAATTTCCTTCAGTACCCCCGTGATGCAAGCACGTGAGACATAAGAAACAAGGAACACTGCAAAACCCCTATGACCCATGCGAAGCGGCCATATTCCCCCCCCCAAAATACCCAATCCCCACCTAGTCAGGCCATTTCCCATTAAAGGGAAAGGAGCACGGCACCGACCCGCAGACAATGTCAGGTCCAACTCACACCCACCCACCCCCCACTATGTTTTTATCTAACCTTTTTTAAAAAAATACACAACGTTTTAGCCTCAATAACTGTACTCGGGAGTTTTTTCCCCCAAACCCTCCACAACTCTTTTTAAAAAAACCTGTGCTTTCCATACCCTTTCCCTGAATCTGAATTTTTCCAACTTAAAACCATTGCTGAGAGTCCGTCTTGGGGGAAAATTTTTCGCAGCTATTTACATCCCCTTTTTTTATTCCTTTTTTCCCATTTATACACCTCAATCATATCCCCCCCCTAATTTACCCCTTTTTAGAGAGTGCAGATTCGGGCCCTCATTTAACCCTCATGGGGGAAGTTTTGAACATGGGATCATCTTTGTTCCTCCTTGAAACGTTTTCCAGAGCTTTAATCCATTCTGTAATACGGTGACCAAAACTGGGGCACGTGTCAAATGGGGCCCCTTAACCCAAAGGGATATATGAGTTGAAGAACACCCTGAGGATTCTATTTTAAAATTCTAGATATGAAGTAAAGAATTCTGTTAGCTTTATTGCAACCCAGTAATGCCTGTTGTCTTGGTTTAGATTACTGTAACCAAACTTCTAAAAAATTTTCGAAAATTCAGTAGTATTAAAGATCTCATTTTTAGTTTTATGTAGCATGGTTATTTAACTGCCCAAACATTTAGAACTTCGCTTTGTTATTTAAAAATGCATTGCCATTCCGACCAAAACCCTTCGTCCCCCGTATGCAAGCCGCTAGTGTGCTAATTTCGTGTCTCTGTTGCAAGCTCCTAAAATGCTCCACCCCCATGAACTACAAAACAAAATTTTAGATTTTTTTTGAGTGAAGTTTTGAGAAAAAAATCGGGAAAAATACTACTTTTGGAAAGGGTTTCTGAAAAAACGCTTCAAAAAAAGCCCTAAAAATCCCGTAGGAGATTTTTTTTATGAACCCCTAGAGGAATTTTGTAAGGGCTTGTGGGAAGCAAGTAGGTTTGGTACTTACGACTTCCTTGAAATCTCCAACAAAAGGAGATCTTGCTGTACTGATGCTGTAACACCACATCTTGCGTACTGTGCTGTAAACCAGGAGATTTTGCTGTACTGATGCTGTACCCCCAAACAATGTTGCTTTTACTGATGCTGTACCACCAACAATGTTGCTGTACTGATGCGTACCCCCAAAAGTGTTGCTGTTTGATGCTGTCCCAACCCAACAGATGTTGCTGTACTGATGCTTTTCACAACAGATGTCTGTATGTTTGCTGTACCCCCAACGATGTTCTGTACTGATGTGTAACCCCAAATAGATTTTTGCTGTACTGATGCTGTCCCACCAACAATGTTGCTGACTGATGCTGACACCAAAAGATGTTGCTGTATGATCTGTCCCACCAAAAATGTTTTGTATGTGTGTACCACCAACAGATGTTGCTGAAACTGAGCTTTAATACCAACAATGTTGCTGTACTGATGCCTACCACCAACAGATCTGCGTATGTGCGTCCCACCAAAAATGTTGCTGTAAAAATGCTTCACTCCCAACAGATGTTGCTGTACTGATGTGTAAACAACAGATTTTGCTGTATGATGCGTACCACCAACAAAGTTGCTTACTGATGCTGTCACCAAAAGATGTTGCTGTTTGATGCTTACCCCCAAAACAGATGTTGCTGTACTGTGCTGTACCACCAACAATTTGCGTATGATGCTGACCACCAACAGATTTTGTGTACTGATGCTGTACCACCAAAGTGTGCTGTACTGATGTTTCCACCCAGATGTTGCTGAAATGATGCTTTTAACACCAATAGAGTTGCTGTACTGATGCTGTACCAAAACAAGTTGCTGTACTGATCGTCCACCAAAGATGTTGCTGTTGATGCTGACACCAACGGTTTCTGTACTGATGCTGTACCACCAACAGATGTTGCTGTATGATGTTTTAAACCCCAAAACAATGTTGCTTTATGATGCGTACCACCAACAGATGCTGCGTACTGATGCTTACCACAACAGATGTTGCTGAAAAATGCTTCACCCCAAAGATGTTGCGTATGAGCTGAAAAACCAAAAGATTTGCTGTACTGATGTGTCCACCAACAGATGTTGCTGTACTGATCGTACCACCAAAAGATGTTGCTGTATGATGCTTTACCACCAACAATTTTGCTTTACTGGCGTCCCCACCAACGATTTTCTGTATGATGCTTCCACCAAGATGTTGCTGTACTGATGCTGTCCCCACCAACAATCGCGTACTGATGCTTTCCCAAAAACAGATGTTTGTACTGATGCTGTCCCACCAACAGATGGCTGAATTATGCAAAACCAAACAGATGTTTGCTGTACTGATGCTGTCCACCACAGATTTGTGTACTGATGCGTACCCCCAAAAAGAGTTCTGTACTGATGCGTACCCCCAACGATGGCTGTCTGTGCTGTACCCCCAAAACAGTGTTGTTATGTGTGTAACCCCCAAAACAATGTTGCTGTACTGATGCTGTAACACCAACAGATGTTGCTGTACTGATGCTGTACCACCAACAGATGTTGCTGTACTGATGCTGTACCACCAAAAGATGTTGCTGTATGTGGTACCCCCAAAACAGAGGGTTTCTGTATGATGCTTCCCCAACAGATGTTGCTGTCTGAT